CGCAAACGAAAACAAACTTAAGTTGCCGTTCGCAGTCGTGGTGAATTTCCCGTGTGCACAGTGGGCCAGTGGTTACGCATTTCGGCAAAAAATGAATGAACCTTGAGGTTCTGTTGGAGCTAAAGAGAATGTCCAATGCATTTGAAAGCATTTCACAAAGAAAACAAATTTTAAAAAAATTATATAGCAAGAATATAAAAATACCCTATATGGTTTTGTGAGCTTAGAAAGAATTTTTATTGTTATCTTTATTGTTCTCAGCTAAATGCTTTCGTCAAACTGCTAAGTATCTTGGAAATGATTTTAATGTTTATTTTTTGTCTGAGTTTTAAAACATTGTTTTTGATTCGGAACATCGTATATAACTACATATGTATATTTTTAGTTTAAGGGCATTAATATTTTGATTCAGAATGCTTAATTTTTTTCCCAATCAATGCATCTTCTTTCCCACTGTGGAGTGGTGGAATTGGTGTCGGTCTCGATATTTTCAAATTAGCTTGATGCAACGGATTTGATGTTGTAAGCCGAAATAGGTTCTATCCGTTTATTTAGAATTTTTATGTAATTTAAATCTCGAACTGCTCTGGAGCGTGATAATTATTTATTCTTAGGGTAAAAGAGACTATCAGCAAAATAAAAATAAGAAATGTAATTAGAGCTTTAATTTCAAGTTGGTATATTTTAGTGAGCTGTCCCAATTAAAATCATTTAACTTAACTATATGTCGCTTACTAAAAACCAGTTGCCGTAGTTAACTGATTACTTGGTCTTTTTTAGTTTTGTTTGGTTTGAAAACATTTGAAAGTTTAAAATTCACCAATTCCATAGAACATGATCGCATCGAACCAAGACTTCAAATGTTTATTTGCGTTTACCTGGAATAAAATAAGTCAAACAAAAAGGTTGCTTGTGGTTTGAACACCTTATTTTCTTTTGATACAAGTTGCATCGTATATGCAACTGCAACATTCTTGTTTGCAACATATTTGAATATGACTTCATTAGCATTTTCGTAGGATAAGGGTTTTTATACGATTCATATAAATAGTAAAAAATATGTAATCTTGCTTTTCTAGCCCACCATATTTAATGATTTAACTCTTTCATCAGAATTGAAATTGGATAGGATTTCTTCGAAAATAACTAATTCCTTAATGGATAATTGAATTTCGCGGGTTTGCTTAGGGCGCGCTTGAATTGTTATATCAATTTACTGATGCATGCAAAACCACAGGGACCATTTGACACACTTTCTCCTCACAAATTGTAAGTGTCCACTCGCACACCCACATTTACTCATATCAATTCGACTGTATCACTGGACTAAGCTTATGCTTGAAGCATTTTCATATTTTAAATCAAGCTTCAAGTCTTGCAACCACAACCTTCTAATATCCGTTGTACTAAATAAATGTACAATAGCATATATATAAAAATATGTACATACATGCCAACATGTAGGTTTAAAAAACAATGAGTTCGCCTTTTCTGATTGACACATTTAAAAAGAATAAAATGTCATTAACGCTGTTGCCTTGTTTGCAGTCTTTCAATGTGAGACAAAAAGTTAAAACTTCCGATTGAAAGAAAAAAGAAATTCATAACGAGCCGATTATACTTATGGTAGATGATAATACCCGCACGTACAAATTTTTTTCAAAAATAAGTATGCCTTATTGACCAATTTTTAAAAACAGTTTCTGACCAATTTGAATTCAACCTTTAATACATTATTACAAATCTTTAACATGATGCACAGTAATTTTTTGATCCGATATTATCGGCAAAGATATATTTAACTAGGCAATTCCTAAAAGTCCATTTCAGAAAGGCTTCTTGATTGTTCACTGTATTCCAGCTAAAAATGTTAAAAGTCATTTTTAAATGCCATTAAACACGTAAGATCAAAAATTCATAACTTCACCAATTTAGCTGCGACATCCAATTGACAACATATTGTTTCAATATTATTTATTCATTTAAAAGAAATAAAATATATCGGTTTTTTGAAAGTGCCATTTAAATTAACTTGATTAGGTTGTAAATAAAGTTTACTACGAAAAGTATAATAATATACAAATTAATTCTATTTCTGACATTATTTGCTTTACAATCTAGTTTTACATTTGATCATATGAATCTCGAATCTCAATACATCGCGTGGGTACTCAAAAACCTACAAAAAAAGTAGTAGTATCTTAAATCAAGAAACTAAAAGTGTGTATTGCTACCAAATACAACATCCCTTGATAGTCCATGACAGTGACATAAATTTTTTCGAATTTTACCAATTAGCCAAGACCGCAGCTTTTCGTTTTTACTGCCAAAACTGAAAGCATTATGTTGATAAAATTTGGTCTGAGGCTCCTGGAATTGCGTGTTCGACTGCGTGACTTTTTTTCGTAGCTCACCCACTTTCACCCGAGCTATCCAGACGGTATAGGTACAGGTCTAGGTGTAGAATCGTATGGAGGTCTCCTTGAAACGCGGTTGGTCACGAAAGCGAACAACAAAGAAAAGGCTTGCCCGTCATTTAAGGCAACATTTAATGGCCACTGGCTATAAGGCTATAAGGCTATAAGGCTCATCCTGAATAAACAGGGGATGGTGTGGTTGCGGTGGGTGCGTGTGTATGGGAGCTGAAGTTGACGTTCGTTTGTGAAAACGAAGAAAGTGATTAAATCAGCACGATATTTTGTAGGTGTGCGCGAGCTCACCCATTTAATTTCTCCCCTGCACTGGTGTGTGTGTGTGTGTGTGTGTGTGCTAGGACATGTAGGTGTGCACACCCACATTGGGCTACTGTTCTAAATTGACTTTTCGCCTGGACAAAAACTAAAAATGACGACATCGCGTTTTTTTTCGTAGAAAAGCTTTGCCTCTAAACATGCCCATCAAAACCGCGTGTTTATAAACAACACAGATCTAATACCAACATATATAGTATGTGCGAGGTATATATAGAAAGGTGGGCCGTGCCTCATATTACACTCCCACATGCATGTTCGCACATATGTATGCAGTTACCAAATATATGAACACGTTAATGTAATTAAACCTTTAGGTCACCAAAGGCTGGATTAAAAGTAACTCCGGTCATTAATTATTCGCGATATGGCTAAGCAGTTATGAATCAACTTCTTTATGGCTTTAACTTATCGAGATTTTTTCAATTAGTTTTTTTGACTACCAGCCTTTTTTTACTTGGGGATTTGATTTACTACGTATATATAAATTACAAAAATTCAATGTAATCAACGTCCTACTCAAGCAGCGTAAATGCCTAGAAAAATTAAAAAATTAAAAATGTTTTTGGAAAATCAATTAAAACCATTTTTATTAGCAAAAAAGAAAATATTTTCATTTTACTTTTTCCTAACCTTTTTCGAAAAGAAGGCTATTGACTTAAATCTCCTTTTGGATAGATATTGGAGACCAAAGTAACTTGATAATAAGGATTACCCAGTATAGGATGATATCCAGAAGGTAGAAATGGTACCAGAAGCTCAACGCGAGCAGATGGGAAGCTCCCCAGTGCTCGATCACTTAGTTTATTCAGTACATCGCCGTATATTTGGAATTTTTAATCAGCTCAAGCAGTGATTTTCTTGTTTTTGGTAACCCAATCCTAAGGCAAACCCTGCCTTCTTGCCCTAATTGGTTTTGTGATTTTTTTATATTCTTCATATAAATAACTCAACCAGGAATTTCTGCAGGTGCACCGGTTGCTCCTTTGGGGGATGAATGTGTGGTCCTACTACGATAATCATGTTGTAGGGAAATTGTCTAGCCGATGGCATTTCATCAGGATCAACGAGATATTTTGCTTCAGTTCTTTGCTGGTGGGAACTCTATCGAGTAAATTAGAGAAGTTCTTCTTTAAGATGGCACTTTGTTTTGGGTAGTAAGAGAATTCCCTGTAGGCATCCTTGAAGCCACTGATGGCCATATGTCCGGTACGATCTCATAGCGACCATAACCATGGAGAGACCATTCCAACTAGCCAACTGTAGTCGTTGGTTAAATCAAAGGTCGTCAAAATTACGTTAGGAATCTGGCACCGTTGTTATAAAACTGACATACCAGGAACAGATCGTACATACCAATTTGTTCCTTGGCATTATAACTCCACATAATTATTTATTATATCGACAGACCAACAATTTTTGAAATCGTAAAATTGTTTAACAAGTTATAAATAAATAAAGTTTTGGTAATTATTCCTTAGTGGCAAATGGCACCTCGTCGTTTTTGTTTACCGCGCCAATGTAATTGCAAGTGGCGCCATTTCCTGTTGTTATATTTTTTAATTGGTTAACAGTGTAAAGAGTATCGTGGCAATAGACTATAACGTTCTATTTGTTTTTTTATTTATCACACTTAATTAAAATTTGAAAAGAACTGATTTACTAAGATATGTATTACTAATATTAAAGTCTGTTAATTATTCCGCCTGTTGTAAAACAAATATTTTAAAGGCTATTAAGAAATGAAGGTGAAAAGACAAATAGTCTATGGTTGCATTTTCAACTCCACTGTTTATTTTCTATTAAATACTCTTTTAAAATTATTTTTGTCACATTTATCATCTTTATAAGAAGGCTTATAGAAAGAAAGCTTTTGGGAAAGTTTCATCCAGACGCAATTAGAATTATGAAACAAACTTGTGTGCAGACTTTATCGACTCGGCTAGAGATCCAGAGAATGTTTAAACTTTTTATGTTCGGAAAATTTAGTTTTTTAAGAAGGTATTTATTTTTAATTTTTTGGACTACGAAATTTCATCGGTCGATCTCAGGAATTCATGTTCAAAATTATTTAACAAACAAACGCGTATTAATGGGCTTAAAAAAAAACATTTTTTGCCTTAGCTTTTATTTTTTAAATTGGCTTCGTCTGAGTCGATTTGTAGAAGTTCGTTGTATGAGTTCGTTCAGTCCGAGTTCGACTGCCCCTAATGTGACTCAAAAATTAGTTCCATGTTCGCGAGTCACTGGTTCGCGTGCCTATCGATAGACAATGTTTTGGTCTTGTTTGTTTTCGGCATAAAAACATATTTTTCATGCGGATTTTAGGACAATTAAAAGGCGTTCTTCGATTGGCAAGTGGTGTACAATATACGTTAATTGATTGTTAAATTCGTGAGACTGAAATAGTGATTCAAAGTGTACTTGTGATTGGTGCTACAATGGACGCACGTGTTGATTAACTTGTTGTTGTTACACTTTTAGCGGTGCGTGGACAAACTTAATAGGCAGCGAATCAACGACTGTAAACAATTCTCGTGGTTGTCGAAAATGCAAAGCCACAAATGCGTGCGAAATGCGCAGACCCAACATGGGGATGCCTCATCGGTGGACGTGGAGAATATATTTTTGCACCGGTCCATGCTGACCACATATCCGATCTTAGGAGCCAATTTCAACGAAGAAGATCAGCCTTCCGAATGTGTTTGGTTTCCGGATGATGCAGACAGTAATCCAACAGACACAACAGATCCTCCGGTAAGTATAAATTTTAAAAATTAATATTTATTTCATCTCGAACAGATTTGTGTTAGTTGGTAAGAGTATAGAGTTCTCCACCTTAAACTGCACTTCGAAAAATACATGTGTAAATAAAAAAATAAGCTAACTTAAGAAGATGAAACTTTGACAACAACAATTCAATCCAATCAACAATTCAATCCTACAAATAAAAACGTTACCATAAGCAAAACAATAAGATAGCTAAAATCGTTATAGGTTTTAAAAAAACACATAAGGTTATTTTTTAAAGGATAATCCAAAAAAAAAGAACAACTTTCTGTAAATTTGTATTTTTGAACTATTGTGAATTTTAAAAAAAAGGATTTTTTTAAGGATAACCCAAAAACAAGGAACAATTTTTTTTCAATTTGTATTTTTGAACGATTGTGAATTTTTATTATTTAAGTTTAAATAAAAATTGACTAAAGCTTAATGTTTCAATTTTCTACATTGCATCTTAAGAGTTTTCTTAAGTGTAATTAAAACTAAAAAAATGTTGAAAAACTACTCTTATTTAAATTTAAAATTTTGTGAAGAAAAAAAAATAATTGCTTTAGAATTTCAATGATAAAAATTATTATTGTTAGGGTCCCGGATAGAAACATTGAAATCGTACTCCCATATTTGCATACTGTGTCTTCCACTCCATTATTAATTCCCATTTATTTGTCCGTTTCATCGTGCTCTGTCAGCACGGAAATCGCGCTAGCGACCAGCTCCCTAGGTTTGACCGATTCGCAGCTAGTAAAAGGGCATATTTATCTTGGGGGAATCGAATACCCAAAACAATTTAGACGGGTCTGTTCGCAAATGTGTGGATTCCTGCCTTTACGTATGCAGTATTATTGGTGTCAGGGGAAATTTCAATGCAGCAGCTTCAATAGCACACTTAAAACTTAATTAAAAAGCTAATCAGGGAGTCGCAAATGCAATTTGCTGCATCAATTAATTAAAGATGGATTAGTGGTCAATTGACTTGTAGCAAATTTAGATGGTTTCATTTGGTGTGTAAGTGTTGCATGTTAATGGCTTTAAACATAATATATGTATGTACCTACATTAAACCATACTTTACTATGTCAAAGTAAAACCTTGGCTTTATGAATTTTTCGTCGCTGTTTGGCAGAAATCTATGAAAATCATGTTGGTTTTTTATGAAACGCGAGTCAAACATGTTCGCCCACAACAGTGGTTTGTTGCTAAAAGTGGTGGGTTGGACTGCAGCCAGTCTATGGATTATGCATAGAATTTCGTAGACTTGTATTTGGCGTGTTTGACCTGGAAATTACAATAATTAAGAAAATGAAATGAAGGTAGCCAAACTTTTAATTTGACGTTGTAACAGTAATATAAACATTCTAGGGCGGTTCGCACACATTCGCGTGCCAAAATAGGTTTATTTCAGGTTTTTTCTATTATCTTAAAAGTTTCGAAAGTCATAAAAATGGATATAAACATGTGGTGGAGGAATAAGGAGCGAGGCACCTGGAGATTTAAACTTCTTTTACGAGACTTTGAGTCACAAATGCCCCAATAAACGAGACTGACTGCAGTGGCTATAGAGTCAACGCTCTGCCTGCATAGAAATTTAAAGCCACCCTTAGGCGTCAGTACATTCTTAAAAATTTAGGGCTCTGCTAAGATGTGCAACAAAAACCAGATTTTAGACAAAACCCTTAATGGCCCACAAAAACCAAGCATACAAGTTTCGGGCTCTTTGTTTGTTGCTTCTACCTCACCGTACGTGACAGTGGCAAATGGCTCTAAATATGCCGGCGATTATTTAGCTTTAGTTCGAGGCTTTAAGCAAGCACATTTTTATTTCCTTTACTAATTAAACAATCAATAAACTAAGCTTGCGGGGCTTTTGAATATATGTTATTCGGATTTACATAGTGTACACAACACATTAAAGACCATAATGGGGGGTGGTTTAAGTTACAGTCGTTTGCTCACGCAAGGAGTTAAGTTATGTGTGGGACCAACTGGACGGACGCGTTTCACTTACCTTCGTATATTTTACCACGGATTTGTCATAATTAGTTCTCTGCCGACGACACGGCCTTTTCGGGGGCCTCTCCGGGTTTCTGGTTTCTAGTGTCCCGCCATCGCAGTGGTTTCCTAACGAGCTACTTTTGTCAAGTTGGTTTGCAGCTAGCTGGTCGTGATGTTTCCGCAATTATTAGTGTCAGTGCCTTCTGCTTTCAGGCGGGCATCTAAGTGTGGTCCTCATTGTTTCCGCGATGCGCCTTTTGGGCCAGTCGTTTTTATAATTCTTACAATACCATGTAAACACACATTACAAAAACAGCCGTGGAAAAGGATACTAGAGTCGGTAAAAGGAAATCCCTCTAAAACGTGGTCTAGAGCAGTCCTTTTTCCATTCGACTGACTGGCTTCTGCCATTAAACTGAAGAATTATAAAGAATGGCCGGTTGGTTTTAGGTAAGTGGTTTGTGGCTAAGGTACACATATAACAATGAAAAACTTGAATGTAAACTAAGTTTTTATTTATTGCTAGACATTTATCTTATATTGTCAATCACATCTTGGGTTGTCTCTTAATCTCTATGGGTTTATGAGAAATATTTAATTTCTTACTTCTCGGTTTATCTTTTAACTAAATAAATATTAATATCAATAGAATGCAGCACAAAACTTAAAGTTAAAGATACAAAATATTTATTACTATATTTCCAAAAGATGGGTTTGTATATTTTATATTACAATAAAAAATTGAGAATCTCTATAAATTTCTTTGGTAAGATATTTATTTATCAAAAAATTGTTAAATGAAATTGTTTCATAATGAATTACTTAATACTTAATTTACCATTCGTCATTGTATGTACATCAAAGAGTGTTAAAGTGATGTAAACGATTATTTGCAAAATCCTTTTTTCAAAGCGCCAAAACAACTGAATTTATCAGTTTGAGTAAATGTGAATAAGATTTGATTTGTTTACAAAAAAAGCCGCAAGCAAAATGTTACATTTCGAGAACTGATTAATAGGGGAAAGCACAGGACTCCGCAGCAGGAAGAGATTTCCTGCAATTTATGGAATTTCACAAGGATATTGCAAGGGCTACCTCGCGCGGCAACAAAGTGGAAGTTGGATTGGCTTGAACAGATCTTAGTCACAATCTCAACGCATGCGGACCACCCTTTAAAACGGATCACGAGTGGCGAGAAGAAGTGGGCAAATAGAGATATGCCCTGCAAAAATGAGCAACTATCACCCACGGTGAAAGCACTCGCAGTTATCATTAAACTGGAAAAGTCCACAGAGGAAGTGGCAGGTTTTACCATCTGGGACGTTTCATCCTTACAGTTGGGGTTGACGGACATTTGGAAGGGCGAAGACGAGGAAGGATCACATAAGAAGATCAAATTGAAGTCCAGAACAAGTACTAGCTCCAGTGAGTCCTCTGACATAAGTTTCCGGGCTTCAGGGAACACGAAGAAATCGCAATCTACTAAGGAAGTACATGCCGATGACCTGATAATATTAAAAAGTTCACATAAGAAAAACAAACTACACCCACCAGAGGATTTTTCTCCGAAGCATTCCGCCAATTTTTTGGTCCTAGAAAGATCACATAAAAAGACGAAAATCTTTTCCCGATCTAGCCATAAACCCAATGAAGTCAAATAAGCTGAAAGAGAGTTCTGCGGAAATGGATACTTTAAAGGAAATAGCTGGGGAGCTCCGCACACTCAATGCAACTGCAAAGTCAGCCACAGAATCATTTATGTCTATGGCATCTCGAATTTGCAATCTAATGGAAAGAGGACTGGAGGAGCGACAGCAGAACAATGCTTTGCTTGAGAAATTGTTAAACAACAAGAAATGCAAATAAATTATGCGGTTATAAATCATCATACTGCCTTTGTAAAATGTTGACGACCTGAAACAAAATTTAACACGACATAAACTAACCTACCTGTTTTATTTTTAAGTTCTGTCTATGTTTGCACACTAACTAACACCTATTTGCTGGTAGACCAGTAACAATCAGAATACGGCTGGTTCGAAGCCAATTTTGCAGTTTTTGGTTACTCTTTTCTTTTGCAACAAGGAAAAATACACAAACTGTGTGAAAATTATGCCAAGGCAGCAGAAAGAAAAGAAGAAATTGTTTGCACACAAACACCGGAAACAAGGCTCGTATGTGTTTTAGGCTGATAAGAGTTTAGTCTATGTGATGGCTTAAGCACTTAATGCTTTCATATTTAAGCATCTTAACGTGATGGTCTTAGAAACATAGGCACTTGCTTCCATAATCAAAAGGACATTTTCAATTTCTGATAGATATGTAACCGTCCAAATTAAGCAGTAATAATTGTATTCGTGAAAATTTCAACAAATAAGAATTAAAAGAACCCCTGTGTCTCTTAATTAAATTAAAGTTCAATTTGTATAAGACTTATAAAATTATGATCTAAGTATTTTTATTATAGGTTCATAACAATAATATATGTCATGATGATATGTCAATATATACATGTAAAATTCATATTTTTTTATTGCAAATTGTTTTTTTTTTCACAGATTTTAAAGTCTAAAGAAAAACTTGAGCTTGACCATTTGCCGGAAAAACGAAAGGCTAACGCTTTAGAAGGCGAAAGCAATGGGAAAAAAGCTAAATTGGATGCCAATGGACTTAAAACCAAGAGACCCGGTTTTAGTGACGAAAGATACGATGAGACATCGTATTATTTTGAAAATGGTAAGCTACTTGATTAATAAATTAAAATCACAAATTTAACTTGTTGTTTTAACCACGTAGGACTTCGAAAAGTGTATCCCTATTTTTTCACATTTACGACATTCGCCAAGGGGCGTTGGGTTGACGATAAAATTCTGGATGTATTTGTGCGCGAATTCCGAGCCGCTCCGCCTGAAGAATATGAGCGCAGTCTGGAAGCCGGAAAATTGACGGTCAATTACGAAAAAGTTCCCAAGGACTATAAAATCAAGCACAATGATCTGCTGGCCAATGTCGTTCATAGGTATGTATTCGTAGGAAACTTTCATTTAAATATGCACACATTTGCATTATAGACACGAAGTCCCTGTTACTTCACAGGCCATCAAGATAGTGTACATGGACAAGGATATTGTGGTTGTGAATAAGCCGGCATCCATACCAGTAGGTATTCTAAATATAACAAACATTTCGAAAATTATATTTTTTTTTATTTTTAAGGTACACCCCTGCGGACGGTATAGACATAATACTGTGGTTTTTATCCTGGCCAAGGAGCACAATCTGAAGAACCTGAGAACAATACACAGGTTGGATCGACTGACATCTGGTTTGCTTTTATTCGGACGCACTGCCGAAAAAGCCCGAGAATTGGAGCTGCAAATCCGAACTAGACAAGTGCATAAGGAATATGTATGCCGCGTAGAGGGTCGTTTTCCAGAGTAAGTTCTTAATAATTTTATTAGCTACCTTTCCTCATACCTTCTTTCCTTAATTTCATTTTTCTTTAATTATCTTTATTGTATTATTTAGTGGAATCGTTGAATGTCATGAGAAAATTGACGTTGTTAGCTACAAAATCGGTGTTTGTAAGGTTTCACCGAAGGGCAAGGAATGTAAAACAACGTTTCAACGAATTGGTGAAATAGGTGATGATAGCATTGTTTTATGCAAACCACTAACAGGACGAATGCACCAAATAAGAGTACATTTACAATTTTTGGGTAAGTCGGAAAGACATTATTTTTTGCAGTATTAAGATCGCAAACTTTTTTTTACCAGGTTATCCTATATCAAATGATCCATTATACAACCACGAAGTGTTTGGTCCACTAAAAGGGCGCGGAGGAGACATCGGGGGAATAAGCGAAGAACAGTTGATCAACAACTTAATAAGCATTCACAATGCGGAAAATTGGTTGGGACTTGAAGGAGAACAGGTCGCACCCACGAAAATCGAAGGTGAATTAAAAAGTACTTCAGAAGTGGAAGTACCAATCGATATTAAAGCTAAGCCTGAGATTTTAGAATCAACAAATGGAACAATCAGTGAAGTAAGTCACTATCTTCTTTAAATATTTATGATTGATAATACTTGCATTCAATTGATCAGGCTGCCACGCAAACTTGCTATGAAGAACCAGACCGGTCCTTTGATTCCAAAAAGGCAACTTCTGATCCGCATTGTTCTGAGTGCAAAATCAACTACAGAGACCCCGGCCCAAAAGATCTGATAATGTACTTACATGCTTGGAAATACAAGGTCTATTGCAACTCCTTTTGTTTATTTATGGACAAATTTAACATTAAAATCTCATTACAGGGTCTCGATTGGGAGTACAAAACAGAGCTGCCGGACTGGGCTTGTCAATCAACTATTAATTACGATCAGTTGTGAACCAATACATTATTTCCTCTTTTCAAGAAATAAAGTTCTTACGTTTTATAAAGGCATCTGTGGGAAAATTAAACAGTTTTACTACATTTATTACTTTTTCGACATAAAATTTAATAAGTGGTGTGATATAATTCATTATAAAGCCTTGACCTATTTGTCAAAATTGTTGTGTTTTTGAAATGTTTGTAATTTTGTGCTTTTGGCTATCCTTGCCATTATCTCTTCAAAATGATCAGTTGCAAAATAGCACAGTCTTAAATATTAATCCAAAACATCTTTATCTATTTCTGGAACATAAAGATGTGTTGGTCGAGTTTTATTTATCTATGTGCAATACTTGTCCCAGGATGACAAATATTTTGGATTATTATATGCTAGAACATGATTTGTCCTCACTGCTAACTTTTGTTTCAATCGATTGCTCAAAATATTCGAAACATTGCTTGAAAACCCAAGTTGAACAATACCCCGATTGGATGCTCATTGAAAAAAATGGACCTATCACTCCTATTCATAACTCAAAAAGTCTAATTGACTTGTTAATTAAATATAATAATTTAAAAAGCAATTTATCAATTGCAAGTCAAATGTTGAATGGGGCGAATATGAAATCTGAGAAAGACATTGCCTGCGTACCTGGAAGAGTTCTAAAACTAAACTCAAATAACTTTTACTCCTATATTAACAATGGAACATTCTTTGTTAAATTATATTTACCAAGCTGTATTTCATGTATCATCTTAATGGCAATTTGGAAAGAGCTGGCTCAGGAATTGGTAAATGAAACCAAAGTTTGCATTGCGGAATATGATTGCACTGCAACTGGCATGCAAATTTGCAAGGACTTGGAAATCACTCGGGTCCCTTCATTAATATGGTTTAAAAACGGACAAATTGTTAAAAAGTACAAAGGAAACCGAGACAAAAAAGGGTTACGGAATTTTGTTTCCAAAATGATAGCGTTCAAGTACTCTCAATCTTGTGCTTCTCAAAAAATATTTGCGAATACGAGTATACGAATGTTATTGCTAAAAACCAGTATACATATGTTTATCTATTATATGTATCTTTAAATATAAATGGTCTTTTAAGAAGAATAAGAAAATATATAGGTTATAGGTTTTTGTGATAGCTTATAGAGTCTTGAATAACACGTCCTTAAACAAGCTACACAAAAAACTTTAGTTGCGGTTCTGCAGCTATTTTTAAATATTCATTTTTGAAATTTGTGGCGCCTATGGGAATCTCGCTAATACCTATCGATAAATCGATTTATTTGGGAGCTCGCAAGTTGGAAACTGTGTCATCTCTGTTGGACATCTGGCGCAAATAAATACAAAGCCTAGAAAATTGTCTTTGCACAATGCTACAGGATTTGTTACTGGCTTGTTTAAGCAATTGTCCTAATGGACAAGGTATAAGTGCTTTCACGGTAAGAAGAAAATCGACCGAAGTGTACTTCCCCAGCTTTACACACGGTTTTTCTAGGACACCACAGTCATTGAGCACTTTGTACATCCTTGCGAGCGGCAGATATTTATGGATATTTTAAAAATCATCCAAGTCTACCATGAAGTAGTTCAATTTACACAGTCTCTGGGAGTGCAGACAAGTGCACAAGGTGAACTTCCGGGTATGATTTAAACAACACATTGTTTTACATGTTAAAGATATTGCAACTTTTGCTTTAGATCATGGCTTCTACATGCTCAACTTTGCCAAGGGAATCGAGTGTGTACTTGAGGATTACTACGCCGAGATCACTCGCCTGCAGTCCTATTGCACCGAAAGCAAGCGCAGTTCGCTTTCATATGTGCACGATGCCCTGCATGTCAAGATGCCCGTTCTGGTCTTCCTTAGGAATCTAATTATGGAGACAAAAGTGCGAAAACTGCGAGGATGCTCCGTACTCCACAATCTGCACCAACAGTCGGAGCACGGAGATATTCAGCTGGCAAGAGTAATCAAGAAGCAAGTTATACCTACATAAACCATCTTCATTCTTTATCTTAACTTTGAACGATATCCAGAGTTATGAAGCCTGTAAAATACCCATTCTTCACGAGCCTGGCGCACTGGCTTTCCTTCGGGGTGATCGACGATGTCCACTCCGAATTCTTTATTAAGTTTACTCCAACCGATTCTGTCGATGGTAGCTCATGCAGCAAATCAGCTAATAGCTCTGTAGTTGTAAGGACTTTATAATTTCTAATCATATTACCACATTCAAAAATTTCCATTGCTAGAGCGCGGATAGAACCCCAGAGGATTATATATGGCAATACGAGATAAATCTGACCCAGCTGCCGGGGTTCCTGTCCAGCATTGTCGCTGAAAAAGTCCTGTTTGTAGGGCAAACAGTGCTAGTTTTTAAAATGGGGCGAGTTGTTAAGCCAAAAAACAAAACAGATCAATTGGCTGTGAAGCTGGCCGAAATGTCGCGCGATGATATCTATGAGCTGTGGAACGGCAGGGAGTCCGAGTTCTTTGAAATGGTCAAAGACCTTGATAATGATGAAACAATCGACGTCTTTCGAGTCGAAAACGTTATAAACGACATAAAGAAATTTGTTAGCATGCGACTCTCAGAAATTGCTGTGAACGAAGTCAACATAGAGCGACAAATGGGGTTAATCAAAGACTTCTATTTGCTGGGCCGAGGAGAGTTCTACTTGGAATTCTGCAACCAAATGATCGGAACCATGGATTCGTATTGTGAAGAACGCTTTAAAAATATCACCAGATCATTTGAGGTAACATACAATTTTTTTCTGATCTTAACGTAGGCAATTACAAATTTGTTCAATTAACCGCAGCTTGCAGCTACCGTCATGGGAATTTCGGATGACTTGGAAAACTTTTCGCTGAGTTGTCAAAGAAGCTCTAGTGATCCAGATGAAAGTTGCGACTTCCACGTTCTGCAAGGTCTCAACCTAAAATACACATATGAGTGGCCCCTGAATCTGTTGTTTTCACCAAAGGCCATTGAGCGATATAACATTATATTTCGATTTTTACTGATTATTCGAACATTTCAATATGAAATACAAAGAGTCTGGGCCAAGCAGACTTGGAAGGCGAAAAGAGAGCCTACGGCTTTGAATAATAAAATCATAAGCCTTCGCAATCATCTAATGTTCTTCCTGAACAATATGCAGTACTACATTCAAGTGGATGTGCTCGAAAGTAAGTTTTCTGAACTTAGTTATTTACATATATAACTCACATTTTGTTACAGGTCAATTTGGTATTCTGATGAATGTGATTAAAAGCAAAACTGATTTCGAGGAAATACAAAGAGCCCATACGGTATTCCTGGCAAATGTTCTTTCACAATGTTTCCTACTTTCCGATTCAAAGGAAGGCCAAATGAATATCACAGGATGCCAATCTCAAAACCCTATTTATGGAACCCTTCTGAAACTCTTCAGTATATGTGAGAAGTTTGCACACATGACCCAGACAAAAGACCCACCAGATGACTTTATGGGCGAAATCGACCGACTTAATGAGAGGTAAGTTGTCACAACTTTTTATAATTTTTGGAACACATTTTTTGATTGAAATAATTAAGATAAGATAAGTTAATTATGCATCATTTTATATAATAAGGCATTATGTCAATCATTACTTTACTTCCTCAAGCAAAGCAAGTAATACTAATCGAACTTTTTCTTTTTTTACAGATTTGGTGTTCAAATTGCGAGCCTTATTCAACTATTAGTTGATGTAAAAACAGCATCTTGTTTGGGTCCGCTTTCTCAGCTTCTATTGCGATTGGATTTTAATCATTGGTTTAGTGCGAACCATAATGCTTCTGCATCTCTGTAACAAATAAACTCTGAAATGGCTTTACCTAAAGCTGTAGTCGTTTAATGTCTTCAATACGAAAGTCATTTCTGGAAGAAATAAAACGTTAGAAGCTGGAACTTTAGCGTGCACACTTAATACCTTAAGGTTAAAAATGTTCGAACTTCGTTAGGCGTTAAGTGCCAGGATGACATTTCTTTATTATTCTCGGGATTCCAGTATTCAGAGAGCTCCGAAATCTTATCCAGATTAAGAAGAGTGGCAATTTGAGAGATTCGTGTCATCTTGTCTCTCACCGACCATGATGTGGCCCCTGTAAGGTAACTGCCCAAGGCACGCACCTCCTGATCAAGTACCAGTCCACCGAGCTATTGAAAAGAGTAAATATGGGTTAATCAACAAAATCAAACTGCGATGTTTAAAAACGTACTCTGTTGAAGGTTATTTTTTTAATAGCCCGTTCCAATTGAATTGTCACTTCGGTTGCTAAAATGCTGACTAGGGCATCGTAGTTGCGCGGACTCAATGAGCTCTTAAATGAGTTCAGAAGACCATCTAACTGGACTATGAAAAACTGAACAAATGTTTCTCCTGCCTCGTAGGCAGCAAGTTCTTCCTGCAACGACAAATTGCAATGAGATTCTATTTAGTTCATTCACTGTGTACTTTTACCTCATTTAAGTTGTGACTGTAATTTAAGAACTGGTTAATCCAGGGGTTGAGGCGTGGCTTTATAACACTAGATCTCAGCTGTTGCATTCCAAAATCAACAGTGGCTTTCAACGCATCCCGCACTGCTTTGAGTTCCGTGAGGCAGCTGTCAAGCAATTGACGCTCCACCGGCGTCGTTTGTGGAAATGTGCCAGCAATTTCCTGTTCCATGGTCTGCCAGAGAGTCTCAATATACTCTGTCGATATATCAGCATTGTTCAACTGCACCAAGAAATTGGCTCGACCTCGATCGGCATCGCTGGAATGTAGTTTTCCCTGCTGCAGGGTCGTTTGAATAGCATTATATGCCTGCGCCAAATCGATGTAGCCCGATGGATATCCGCTTTTCAAGGGGGCCTTGAGTGCAGACACAAAATCACCATCTAGGCAGGCAGCCACGTTGTTGATCACTGCACACGTTCCGTTTATCGACTGAGTGGTCAACGCCCGTCTAATGGATTTGCGAAGGATGAAGAATATGTCGTCCACCATTGACGAACATTGCTGTCCAGATTCGTAAGTATCCAGACCGATGGCCTTAAGAACACTTTCTTCCATGAAATAACTAAAAAAGTTTGGTACTATGAAAATTATTTTAACAGCTATTTTAACCGATATCTACCGTTCCAGAAGCAAATATGTGCTCAGAATTTCCTGCATTTGGCGGCGCAAGTCAGAGTTCTTCATGATCTTTTCGTAGCGTTCCATTATCTCCGTCTGCTCTTTTTCGGGCACACACGTTTCTACATGAACCTGCAATACGCATTGTTAGATAAGTATTACCATTGCTTACGGAACAATTATTTCCTTATTACCTGCAAGCGACGTCTCATAAATCGGAAGTATAGCTCGACTCGAGCATGCATGACCGTTATTTCAGCTATTATTGCATCAATTTCCTTCGGGTTTAGTTTGTCTACCGATCCGCCTGATGGTTTCCGATAATGACCCAGTGCCTGGATACTGTTGCTGGTGACATTTCCGCCTCCAGCCGACCGCTGGGTGGATTCATTCACTTGCTTGCTGCGATACTGGATCTGCCGGTTCTTGTTAAACTCCATTAACAGGTTTTTCACCTCAGCATCACATTCGTGCTGCAGAATGGCCACCATATCAATTAGGGACGAAGATCTGTAAATAGTCAAAAATATTTAGAAATGATTTATTTGGTTATATCTATGCAACCTACGCTTGTCCGTAAAAAGCTTCGATTATTGGCTGATTAACCTCAACCACACGCGCAAAGTTCTCTAGAATGGCAGTCAATCGATCTGCATAGGCCAGTTGCATCCGTGATTCAGCCTTGGCAATGTCCTGGGCATTCCGCAGTTCCTTTTGAGCCTTGACCGACAGCTTTTGGCATATGTAGAGGGAAAACTTCTCGATCCCAGTGCCATGGCAACCGACAAGAGGAAAGATTTTGAAGAATCTCTCCACAGAGGCCAAGTCATCGGCCTTAACCGCCTCCTCAAATCGCTTGGCAATAAGGACACGGGTCTTCTCGGTGGCATCCTCTAGCGTCTTCACCGCATCGCTCACCGACGTTATGGAACCCTGAACGTCGTCGGCGGTGCGCCGCAGGAGTTGCTGATCCATCGCCAAAAAGCGGGCAATGTGCGTGGCGCTCTTCTCGTAATCCTCCTCGCCGATGGCCTTGACAACCCCCTGGCTGCACAGGTGGAGGTCAATGAGGTCGTGCACCCGCTGCTGGCACTCGGAGGCCCGGCACCTGGCCAAATCCAACCGGCGCACCTTGGCACTCACGGATTCAGCCAACTGAGCCGTGTTGACAATCTGTGCGTTCAGTTTGTTGGAGTCGCTGTCCACTGTGTGCAGCAGAGTTAGTGATCTGCCAATGCCACTCATCTTGGCCTCTATCTGACACTGTTTGGCCAGCAGAGACTCCAGTTTCTCATTGACTTTCGCCTAAAGCGGAGAAAAACATGAATAATACTCCAACCGGAAAATTATAAACTTGGCACGCACCTCTTCCTCGGCAATTCTCTGCAGCGTCTCATCCACCTGTTCATTTGTGCTGATGTCCAAGGCGGCTAACTCATCAAGAACACTCATCCTGCGATTGTCTGTCCGGAATTCCGGATCATATAGAGTTAAAATACTACTATTCCAATCTGCTGATACGTGGAAATATTGTTTTGTATAAATAGGGATGGGCTTTCACAGGCTATTGGGCATGATGTATCGGAATGTGGTATATCGATACCTTAAATCTTCTGGCAGCGCTGTTTTTTTGGAGCAATTCATTGTATAAATTAATAATATTAATTATTAATTGTATATTCTTGGCATTAGTAGTAAAAATAAACAAATTTATTTAAAAAATATAACTAAAATTTATGTGTTAATTTTAGCTATGGGGATGTTGTCTTTGTCATGTTCGATCGGCAAGCAGTTCAAACAGCTGACAGTTTGTTTATTTTATTTGTTTGTTTTAAATGCACACAGTTTTTCTTGGCCGGTGCGATGGAGAAAATAAATGAAGATATTTGGATAAATATTCTAGGGTTCCTGCCCATGAGTGATCAGTTGTCACTGGCCCAAGTCACTGGAAGTATCTGCTCCTACGTGAAATACCACTGGAATCATCTAAAGTCGGTGACCCTTACTGGAGATGACTTGAAATCACTGGACAGGAGTGAGAAGTTGATGCAGGAATGCCTGGGCGGTTGGTCAGGATCTGTTCAGGTGCTTAACCTGGCCGGGTGCTGCAGGGACCTGCTGATGAAGTGGACCGCCTACAGCTTTCCCCATCTTCGATCGCTTGACTGTCACATGGACTACAACCTGGAAGAGGCCGACGAGGAGACTCTACTGCTGACCGAGCTGTTTCCGCTTCTGACCAGTCTCACATTAAGTAGCAGCACTACCGGCTGCCATTTAAGACGCTGGAGGCAACTGAAAGAACTGAACCTCATCTGGTGCGAGTACCTGGACGCGGACACTTTCGAGGAAATCTTCAGCAGCCTAAAACTGACTAAGCTAACCCTTCTCTATTACGGCTACAATGTGAACCTGGGCGAGAAGGTGCTGGACGTCACCCTGTGCTCCACGCTGGAGGAGCTGATCATCGACGATCATCACTTGTTGGGCGCATTTATGCCCCTATTAATGGATCTGCCACACTTCCGCCGGCTGGTGTTTTACACTCGGGACTACTACGAGCATTTGCTGGGCTTGGTGGCCAGACGCCACCCGCTCAAGGTGCGATCACTGCTCTTCAACGACTCTTTCTGGAGCAGCGAACGGGTGGCCGAGGATATCCTGGGCATGACCAATCTTCGCCGGCTGGTCCTGCAGGAAGATGACATTGATTCGCAGCAGCTGCATGCCATCTGCCAAAGGCTGCCGCATTTGGAGGAGCTCCATCTCTTGCAGATGCGCGAACTGCCCCCGCCCACCCGATTGTGGAACCTTATATGTTCCTGTCCCGAGCTCAGGATCCTCAATCTGTCGTCCAATAAGTTGGCCAGTTCCTCAGTGGAGTTCAGTTGGTCGCGTCTCCCCAAAGTTCTGCTCAACCGCAGCTCACCGCTGACCCTGCACCTCCACAACACTGGTTTTCTTCCTGAAAAGGTGCTTCCCGCTATGAATCATGGTAATTTACAAATCTCATTCAAACCCGTGCATTTAAATATTTGGAGTTCACGATTTGTGGAAATCGAATTCAGTCCCGAATCGGCATAGCAATTTAAAAAATCGCATTTCAGATACAACAACAACAGGTTTATTCGATTTACGAATAGCCTAAAGTTAACGTAAATTGTGATTTAATAAATATGTATTTCGACAAGCGTTTAATAAACCGAACATTGGTTTAAAACTGTCTTAAGCTCTTCTTTTTTTGAATTCGCGCCTTAATGGGACCATATGCTAGGAAAAAAAAACAAACACGGCTACTCTGGTTTTCACAAACAGCTGATTTGAAATTCAAAGCCCAACAAAAGTATTGATTTGCAATAACTGTAGGATTAGCTTAGCGTAGCATTCCGATAGATAAGAGTAGCCGTAGTCATGGATTTTACGGGCTTTGAAGTGCGCAAGGTGAGTGGAAAACCAGGCGAAGACTGAGTGGAAACCATGCTATCCTCCTTTATCCTCCCCAGTGCCCACCGACTGCCATGTACATTCCGAACTTTATCACTTCCGAGGAGGAGCAGCGCATACTGAGCCACATCGAGCGGACTCCGAAGCCGCGCTGGTCGCAGTTGCTCAACCGACGGCTGGTCAACTACGGCGGCGTGCCGCATCCCAACGGGATGATTGCCGAGGAGATTCCCGAGTGGCTGCAGAGCTATGTAGACAAGGTGAACAACCTTGGGGTGTTCGAGTCGCAGAACGCCAATCATGTCCTGGTCAACGAGTATCTGCCGGGCCAGGGAATTCTCCCGCACACGGACGGTCCTCTGTTCTACCCCATCATCTCGACCATCTCCTGCGGGGCCCACACTGTGCTGGAGTTTGCCAAGCGGGAGGATACCTCCCTTGAGGAGGACGCTGGAGCAGATCAACTTGCCCGCGAGGTTCGCTTCAAGCTGCTCCTTGAGCCGCGGAGCCTGCTCATCCTGAAGGACACTTTGTACAGCGACTATCTGCATGCCATTGCCGAGACCGGCGAGGATGTGCTCTGCGACCGCATCTGCAACTACGATCTGTGCGAGAACACCTACAAGATCGGTGATCACCTGGTGCGTCGATCCCCACGCATCTCCCTCACGATTCGCAACGTGCCCAAGACCAGCAAGATGAAGCTCAAGTTCTGCTAGGTTCATTCCGCACATAGATGTTGTTTGCCATTGATTACAGACATTACACAGATGTTGACTAAACGCACGTTAAACGAACCCACTGAAGGGATCCCTGGGATCCACGGACTACGATAACCTGCAACCTGAATCTTCCGCTAGATGTTTAAGCACCCGCACTAGCACACTAGCTCACAAGCAATCAACGTTGGCCCACACAAAAGTGCTTTATTTATACCGTTAGCATTGTGTACATATATAAAAATGTTTGTATTACGTATTACGGAGCAATAAGTTTGCCTGATCGGCGAACAGGATCAAGTTATATCCCCCGAGACCGCCTGTCCGCCAGCGGCCTTTAGATTTAGTTACGCGAGCAATTGATGGGAGCAATCCACGGTCTAGATTTGTGAAATATATAGTTAACTATACAGGTATTCTACAACTGATATTGACTATGATACGGCTACTGTCTTCTTAGGAAATCAAATACAATTTGAATGATTAAGGCAACTCATAATCATGATCAGTTGATGGAGTACCTCTTATATGTATGTTGAATGGAGCGCGCAGCATACCGAGTACCATATTCGTATGCTCCATGCTCCGGTCCCCCGCGTCCAAGTGTATTTTTGTAACCGTTTTTTCCACCGCGCACCGCAGAGCGAAGAGTTGCCAATAAACGTTACTGTCCACCCACTGATCCTGTAATCCTTTCCATCCGTTAGGCCTCCGCCTCCTGCCACTCCAGCCGGAACTCGCGCTCGAAGACCAGGCGGTCATACAGCCGCACCTCGCTGATCCGCGCCGATATGTCCAGCCGCAGTTCGCTGACCGCCAAGTGGAAATTCTGACGCACCGTTCTCTGCTTGTCCGGCGTCAGTTGGTTGAGAGGCTTCCGGAAGATGCTCACTATGCGCTGCAGGTGGTACTCCACGCTGGCGCAGCGCCCGATGCACACCCACAAGTTCTCCGGATCGTGAATGTTGCCCGGAAATCGGGTACGCTGGTCAAAGGGCGCCTTTCCGGACAGCAAAGCCCTCACCTCGGCCACGATCTCCTGGTGCGTCTTCAAGTCCCGTGTGCTGAGGGTGGTGAACTCGTACTTGTCGCAGAAGTACATCAGCTCAGAGATGGCCACCCAGGACTGGGAGCAGAGCGTGGCATGGTGATTGGACCAGTTGGAGTAGCCGGCCGGACTGGAGGACTTGGTGGCCACAGCAGCGGTGGACGAGGAACTGGCGTTGGGAGTCGGAGAGGTGCTCTTGGGACTACCCGTCTTGGGCTTGGGCGTTTCCAAGCCATTTGTGGACCTTCTCTCCGTGCGCTGCAGTTGCTCCATTTCCCGCTCGTGCTCCTTGGCCCTCAGGTAGGCCTCCTTCTTCTGCTGCAGCTCTTGCAACTTGGTCAACTTTGGTGGCGAGTAGGTCTTTGTGAAGATCGAGGTGGTAGCCGGCGGAGGAGGTGCCGCATCGCCATCTGTGTGAGCAAGACAAGACCCGTTTGTGTCCAGCGACGCACTGCGCCCGTACTTGGCCCGGTAGCGCTCCAGCGTATCCAGCGAGAAGCTGAGCTCCTTCTTGATGGCCTTCTGCATGGTTCGGTTTTCTGGCTTTATGTAATCACCTTGGGTGTATCGGTGCTTCGAAATGCACGCGTTCCCTTCGAGAATTTACAAGCGAATGCGAGCGAACATTCCGGATCCGCATAAAGAGAGACTGATCTCTTTATTTTTATCTTTTATCAATCGGCGGCGAGCCATGTGCACTTTATTTCGGTCTCTGCCAATACATTTTGATTCGCACACGAATGCGTATGCATACGCTTGGATTTGAAGCACCATTTTTAAAGATGCACAGATTCACAAATACCGAACGCACATTTGGGGAAACTCATTCCGAACTGACCGAAATTTTGAATACGTAAAATCCAGATCAAGGTTGCGATTACAAAGATTACAGAAGGACTAACGTTGCCTGATAAGGTTTTAAAACTCCTTTAACTATTATTTTTTAAAGTTGATCTTTAGCTTCTATTTCGCCAGTGTGTTTTTTTATGCCTATTATAAAGTTAATTATTTTTAACTGTTGGTAGTGCCCTTGTTATTTATAAGTTTTATAGGCATTATGGGGATCCATGGATCCCCATTCATTAAAATCATTCGATTGCATTTAGATCTCAGTACTACTAATAATTAGAAAGGGATAAGATTCTAGATAACCCGGCTAGTAAATCAAAGCATTTAAAGTACAAAGTTTACAGCTTTTATTTTGTATATTATTTAAATAATATTATTTGCAAATGGCACACATAGGTTCGTGATTTTAGTTTTAAGTACAAACTTTTTCGCTGATCATTACAAAAGGTTTGTTGTGTGCTGTGAATCATATTTGAAGAAATGCACAAAGAACATTTAATACTTTTCGTTATGTTGTATGCCAGCTAAACTGGCGGAGGAGGTCCTCTCACATGGTTGGTAAATAAATATCGCCTTAACGCATACGTAATAGAAAAATGTACAAAATTACAATCAATTCGTCGATCAAACACACAGAACAGATAGGACTAACTAGAAGACATTTTAAAAACTACAAAGCGGGTGTTAGCAGAAGGCACGGTATACACAGAGTTGTCTTGTCCAGTTGGACAAATGGGTCACAAGTAGAAATGTCCTAAAATTAGGTTCCATAATTTACAATTCAGATGGGGAGAGGGTCTCCCTCCTAAACGCAGTACGCCGCGGGTACCTCGAAGATGATCTTGCCATCCTTAAAATGGAAGTTTGGAACCTCCAGATTGGACGCCGCCTCCACCCTAATGGTGCGGGACTTCTCATCCAGACGACAGGGTATAATGTTGCTCACATTCACACGCAACTCCGTTCCGGTGAGACTGTAATGTTAAAGTTATACATTTTAAGATCGGTTTATGCATTCTATGGCGTTTTACTTACTCATGGTACTTCTTGCACACAATGCCCACCACCTCGCCAATGCGATCTTCCTTGAGGGGCGTGTACTCGCCCTGCAGGGCAAACACCAGGTCCTTGTTTTTGGGCGAGTGGAAGGCAATCAGTTGATCCCTGCCAGGAGACACACTAATGGAAGTCAACTGTAAGAGAACAAATTTTGGGTGAGTGAGGTTATTTCGTGTGTTGAGTTCTTATTTAAAGGACATCAACAGATAGTGGTATAGTGTTTTCGATTATAAAAGCTTAATTTCTAGGAGCAGAACAGCTCCTTTCATTTAGGCCCAAATTCTAGCATACTATGTACTTAGCATCAAGGTAGTGTATTTTAGGAATTTGTTCATTATATTTAGTGGTTTTTCGACTAATCTTACGATTATATTCTTTATCTTTGAATTGATATAATTAAATTTTAATTTTCTTACCTCTCTAATTCCAATACAACGTTTATTTTCGTAGCGGAACTTCTTGATGCCCTCCAGTCTGTATATGGTTGAATCGGTGACGATGAAGGCGCGATTAGACTGCTTGTTGTGATGGTTGATTTTCTTGGCGAAAGCGGAGAAGAGCACCTGGCGGAAGGACTCAGCGCCGGCGACTCCTGCCAGGCTGTTCTTTATGTTGCGCACACTCGTATTGTAGGCTTCAAAGAAGCTGTTTTCCTGCGAGTTAACCAGGTAATCGCCCAGCCAGCGGCGCTGTTGACCCCAGTAGGGTCGTCTGCCGTCCAGAGCGGTGACGGCGATGATCTGGAGACGCAACTGGGGCCATTCGCTACGTGGATACTTGCTTAGGATCATGCTAGCTCGCCAGAAGTTGAAGATGCGGTGCAGCTTGACCTCCGCCTTTCGTCCTGCGAGCGGCGGCTGCGGCCACTGGATGCTCTTGCCGTAGTCCCGCATCTGCTTGGCTTTTCGGAAGCGGTTGGACAGCTCCTGGACATAGCTGCGCAGCTTGTAGGTCCTGTAGGCCCGCACAATTGTGATGGCCGCCTTCATCTTCTTGAAGTTCCTCCTCACAATCCATCCGCGCACCTGTTTCTGCAGCAGGGTCACGATGTGCGGGATCATATCGTTCCTCTGCTGCTCCAGGGCGAATAGGGTTTTCGGCGAGCGGATGAAGATCTTGGTGTGGCCGTATTTAACGTCCTGCGCAAAGCCCTTCTCCTCGATCAGCACCCGGACACCATCGCGATCGCTGCCCGCCCGGAAATTGGGCCACGTGTACTGCGAGATCATCTTGTAGCGCAGCAGGAACTTGTCGTAACGCTGGCGATGCACGAATCCGGCTCGTCGGACCCGCAAGTTCTCGAGCAGTCCGAGGTAGCGCACCTGGTGCTCCACGCGTTCCTCATCGAAAACAGTGGAGCTCTTGATGTCGTTGGGCTTGATGCAGCGCACGTAGAAGGGCTCCTTCTTCAGCAACGTCACTACCAGATCGGCCATCGATCTCTGGAACAGGGTGCCGGCGGTCAGGGGCCGCTTGGTGGTCTTCTTGATGTCCTGCGCTCCCTCGGGCCACATCTCGCTAAGGTTGGCGTCCTTGGAGTTGTGGAGCAGGCGCTTGAAGTCCTGGTACAGCGTGTCCTTGTTCTTCTCGATGAATCCTTTGATGTTGTAGATCACATCGCCGGCATAGTGGGTGATGCGGAAATCCTCGCGATGTTTCAGCTCCTTGTCCGTGGGCTTCAGCTGGCGACTTGTGTAGTGAGGATGCTTGCTCAGGTTCTTGTCCATGGCCCCCAGGAGCGTGTCGTCCGTCACCTTGCCCACGCTCAGACAGGCCTCGTCCATGATGGCAATGATACCCTTGTGCGGTTGCTCCACAAGATCGCAAATGATCTGAAATACATAAGTTTTTGAATTACTTCCGTATTGAATCATTTCTTATCAAAAAGAAATCAACGTCTTTAAAGACACCATTTGAAATTTATTAAAATTGGAAGAGTATAACGTAAAGCTGGCTGAATAAGTTTTGTACGTTGTCTAATAAATATGGGCTAAAGCTGCAAGGGTTTTGCCTTTATCTTATATAGCAGTCATATAAGATTTGTACTGTAAGAAAATAGATAGATCAACATTGCATTGGTACTCACCTTGTTGTTAAAGTAGTCAATGTTTGTCCATTCAATGCCCTCGCGTTGGTACTCCTCCTGCTCCTGCTTCAGCACCAGTTCTGGAAGGGATTACACACAATACTAAGCCATTCCCTTGCCTACAGATCCAATTGACTCACCAATGAACAACTGCTGCAGCTTCTCGTTGCAGTAGTTGATGCAGAACTGCTCGAAACTGTTGGAGTCAAAGATCTCAAAGCCGTAAATGTCCAGCACTCCGATGACCGAGTTAAACCTCGCCTGCGTCTTGCTGCCTCGGAACAGGATCGCCCGGTTGATGCGGGAAATGATCCAGGTGAATAGCCGGTCGTAGATAGCCTTGGCCAGGGCATCCTTTCCGTACTCCGCCTGCGTGGCATTGTGATCCTTCTGCATCACATTTCCGCCGGCGGCGATGACCCGCTTGGTCAGTGCCGTGGAGAGCTCGGATTCGGTGACCTGGAGCAGCTTGGCAGTGGACTTCAGGTGCTGCTTATTGCTTATTACCAGTTCATCCTCAATGGCTGCAATTCAGTGACAAAGAATATATCAAACTGCTTTTGGAATAATAAACAGCAAGAACTCACTTTGGAACTCCACATTTCCCAGATGCAGCACGGCCGCCACTGTGCGCCAAATGGTCTGCACCTCATCCGTGGAGAATCCCAGGGTCTTGAAGGCATTGCAGGTGCCCTTGTAGTCGGACTTCTCCGTCAGGATGTCCATGCTGCCCTGGTTCAAGTAGTGGTATTTGCCCGTTTCCTTCTGCAACTCATATTGTCGCAGTTCGTTGTCGTTGGCTCCACGAAGTAGCTGAAATGGATGAATTGGTTGGGGGTATTAATTAAGCGATTCCCTCTATACATGTCAGTATCCATGTCCCAAGAATTTAGCACAGCAGACAATTAGCAGACATGTTAACTATAATTGAACTTCCGTTTTCCATTACGTTTTTGGAAGTTGCCATTTGAGTTTCGGAATCACAAATTCTAGTGTCTAATTTGGAATGAGTTATGAGTATTCATAAAGCTAAATCATTCAAATAAATATTTATTTATTTCAAAATTAATATATGACTTCACGCATAAACAAACAAATTTTAATTATATGTAAGAACAATACACGATTACTCAGCAGTTATTTGTGTCGATTATATCATCTAAGATAAGTGCATTGATAACACAAGCTATCGGTTGAGTAATTTAGGTCTTCAGAATTTTTATAGATTTTTAACTCTGGAAAAGTCATAAAATAATAATAAACTATATAAATCTACATGCTTATCACTATTTTTTCAGATGCGAGCCAGGTTGAGAATTGTTTATTTCAAGAGAACTTTTTCGATATAGAAAAAGTACCCTTGGTAGTCATAAATTATATCTTGGCCAAGCTGGAAATTTATGACCGATGCAGACGAGGTGCCAAGACATTTTGTACCGTCGCCTTTAAAGCAAGCATTCCATAATATGGTTCAATATTTGTTTTGACTCAGTTTACAAATAAACAACTTGCACTTTTCAAACAAATTGCCGAGCTCTAACAAAAACCAGATCAAATACTCGACTTGATTAAGTGTTTCCAGATGATAAATGTGCTAAAAGTGGTTCGAATTGATCAAATACTTTGGAAACACATCGGAAATAGCGATCAATTATCACCTCAGCAGGTTAAATTGGCCTGATCAACGGGTAGATGTATATTGTAGGTGGGTACCGCCTTGAATAATGAATAAGCAAACAAATTGTGACGCGATCAGTTTTTCTGGTTTATTGGATGAGTCTTGGGTAGGGCTATGTTATCATTTTTTGAATGATATCATCAGTTTTAAAACGCCAAGGCGGTGGTCAATAAAACTAGGTATCCAGCTGACAGCGAATTTAATTAAATTAATGAAGTTTTCGTCTTTGAGATAATTAAGGCAAGACATTTTCTGTTATGTCTAAGAAGTTTGATGAGTATAAATAATCTTAACATCTGTTTTCAATTAAATAACTTGACACAAACTAAGCTTGTAGATCTCTTTAGTGAAAAAAACTTAATTCACTGCCCATTACCATATAATTTGTTCAATGTTTTATAACTTGTGAACCACCATAGTTTTATTGATAGCAGGGCATATATTATGTATATTCCCCCCTCATAAAACTGTCTTAGCACTCAACCAAATGCCCATGAATGTTTACAAGGCAGGGGGAAAGCCGCTCCCACAAAAAAAAAAGCGACAATAACTGTCTAACCAGCCGAAAAAAGCATCATCACGGCAACCACCCGACACCCAAGTAATTGACGCCCCCCTGGGCACCTCCTCCGGACACCTTTCGTCACCTGGCACGCGTCACGCTGACTCACTTGGTAAATAATCGTGTACTTAATGCCACACACGAATAGTTTCAACACCCCTTACCTGGTAAAAACTGTGGAAATTCCGCTCGCCCGGCTGCTGCTGCACCACTCGCGACTTCTCCAGGAGGTAATTGGTGATGATACCACCCACCGGATCCGCCTTGTAGTCGAACTCGATGTCCATGTACTTTCCAAACCGACTGGAGTTGTCGTTGCGATTGGTCTTCGCGTTGCCAAAGGTTTCCAGGATCGCATTGCTCTGGATCAGAACGTTCTTTACCCTGGAATGGTGAGAGGATATTATAGGTTTTAAAATTGTGATATAAGAATTTAAGATGATCTTATCGGCCATACAAAAACTAATTTTAAAATTTCGGGTTTCCTTATTATTTCCATTATGTTATTAGTATAATCAGTGAAAAATTATTATAATTATTATTATAATTATAGAACTATATCATTTGTACAGGACGTGAGAAATTATATTCTCTCAAAATGATATAACTTTATATTTTCAGAAATCTTTAAATACCTTAAATATTTTTTAAATTTGAACACTCAGATGGTTTTAATTTAGTTAACTTAGTTATGTTGCAAGGAAATGAGCCTAGTTCCTTTTAACCAGAAAGATTAAAAATATAAAACATTAGCTAGGCCTTTAATAATTATTTCTAAAATGTGTATTTTAGGTGTTCTCTGATATTGATTTATATTTAGGGAAACATTCCTTTCATACCCAAGAAACTAAAAAGACCTCTGACATTAAAAATTATGTTATATGCTTACAACATTAAATAAAAAGCCCCATTGCAATCAAATCGACATAATTAAAAATACAATCAAACTTAATAAACAACCTCTTAATGCTTCATAAATTCCTCTTTTTCCCTTTGGCAAAGTAATTTGGGAAATGGCATTCGCCCTAATCCCAGAAACTATAGTAAATGTCGTTTTAAATTTCATTGGAGGCACTAAAAATTGGCAATTTAGCTGGCCATTGTGTTTTGGGCTTGGTCGCGGAGGTCTCAGCATTTTATGGAGCACCTTAAACTACACCCAAGTGATAAAAGTTCCTTGGACAAAGTGGTTGGCTGGGGAAGGCAATTAGTGGGACAATTAATTTGGCAACTTAAGCTGCAGTCCAGCACTGATGTCATCCGGAGGTCACGGGTCACGCGATGACCATGTGAGCTATTATGGGGCATGCCACATCTGGGGAATGCTTAATTAGCAGGCGCCTTGTACCCAGGCTCCCTCAATGAGAATTCCATTGCCCATTTGCATGCAAAACAATAGCGAAATGTGAGCAGTTTTCTCCGGGACCGACATGTTATAGATTGAGCTTCGGTTCCCATTGTTCACGGTTCACAGTATTGTGATAAGGCCGAAAGCGTTCCATCAACCTATGCATATGGCACAGCTTGGCTGCTAAATTGATAATCTAATTTACTATGTAATCAGTGCAAACTGCTTGGGAGTGTTTGAACCAGTTAAATTTATTCGTACTACCTAGTTTTTAGGGCTATTAAACTAATATCTCCAGACACTTGGTAATTTAAAAAAAATTTAGCTTAACCTTTTACTATGTAATCAGTGCAAACTGCTTGGGAATAGTGGAACTATTTAAACATAGTCGTAGTACCTAGTATTTAGGGCTATTAAATTCATTTCTCCAGACACTTAGTAATTTAAAAACAAAACGGAGCTCACCCCTTAGAAACGCTGTTGACTGCTATTGAACAATTTACTTTATAATTGGGTTTTGGAATTGCAGCATGAAGTATTTATAGACTAAATTAATTTTATCGTAATACAAGGTTATTCTTAAACGGCTTGAAACCTTTTAATTTTGTAATATTCTATATTCAAGTATAAATAATGTGTATAATTCGAGGCTTATTATCAGAATTTTCCTTTTAAAAAATAAAGTTTTTGAAATAAAATCTTTATACAATCTATGCTAATTTATTGGCTAACTTGTTATTTCAATTTTTGTGTTTTTAGCTAAAAGTAAGTCAAACTAATTAGTCAAATTCAACTGATTTTAGTGAAATTCAATGTAAAGTTTTTTAAAACTAGATCTTAATAATTTCGAAAATGCTTATATGTACTATGAAAAATGAAAACCCATCACTCACCGCTCGATTTCGTTCTGTCCCTGGGCATTTGTGACCGCCGCAATGTACTTCATGATGATCTTGGAGGCCTCCGTCTTCCCTGCTCCGGACTCTCCGGATATCAGGATGCAGGTGTCCTGTTGACGCTGCTTGAGGACCCTGTAGGCGGCATCGGCGATTGCGAACAAATGGGGCGCGTTCTCGAACAGTTCCCGGCCCTTGTACTTGCGGATCGTCTCCGGACCGTAGATGTTCATCTGTCTGTAGGGATTCATCGAGACGCACACCTCGCCGATGTATGTGTAGATGGACCCAACTTGGAATCTGGGGAAAGAGTGATGAGATGGTCGCTCATTAGTTGCTGCAGTGTTTGTAAACGCATTTCCCGCAGTTTACGAAATGGATTTCCACGGGTTGAGTGTTCGAGTTAACTAAAATAAATGTTGGGAGACTGGGAAATGAGTGGGAGTGTCAGGTGGGGAGCAAACCACCCGTCGTTGCCGCCTGCAGCTTTCAATTCGAAAATTGCTTTTCCAACATTTGAGGAGATACGGGTTCATATGAGATACCTGCACCACACGACGTGTCGATCAATATAATCCACTGACGCTATGTGGATCAAATTTTCGATCGCTTTTCCTTCTTTTTTGATTGACGTGCATGTGGATGCATTTATTTTGTACTCAATTTGTAAGGCGCCAACAGATTGGTTTGTTAAAAAGTTTGTGCGTTAATAAAATGCATTCAGTTCAGATAAGTGGGTCACTTTGGAAAGATAGAAGCAATGAGATGCAAAGTGGGTCATGGAATTTATGGAAACCTGAAATGTTATTCTTTTTAAGAATACTTTAAAATATAATAGAGCACAGACAATAATATTGTATGTTGGATTTTAAAATAACTACTTTTTTAAGTGAACTAAATCAGACGTTAGCTTAAGTTTTAAAATGAATTCGAAGAGTGATTAACGTTATCTAATCCAACGTTAAAGGGATTGATTTCAAGTAGGATTTAAAAGTCTTAAAACAAAATGTTTACCATAAACAATGTTTAATTCTGTAAATTAATCAAACGATAGTACCTCCATGTAAAATACATATTTATTTATAAACTTATAAACGATTTGCAAGAATGACAAAGAAATTTCTGCGATTCCAATTCGGTTGGAAAGTACATATTATGTATGAACAAATTTCAAACAAAAATATTCTGTGTCACACACGATAATAATGAATCATTCGTAAGATTGAACACAATATTTTTAAAAACAAAAATGATTGAGGTCATATTTGCTATTAGCTTACAGAATTACTATCTTATTTCTCTGATTACCAGCTTATGAAGTGTTCAAGATTTGACTTAATTTCGGTGAACTCATTCAAAGAAAGGGCGAAGCAAATTGCATGCAAATTACGTGCCACAATTCCCAAGAAAATTACGCAGAGCAGGCTCAGACTGCCCCGAAAGTAAGAGTTACACCATTACCGACTGCAAATTACCCCAGATGAGCCAGCCACATAGCCAAAGTCCAGCCCAGACTGTGCAACAAGTATTACAAAACCCTGGACAGAGTGTTTTCCCAAAACGAAAAACAGAAACCGAAAATGAAAATGAAACACTAAATTGCCAGACAAAGAAACGGAGAAATTGTTAAAACGCGAACTAAGCCGAAAGCAAACAGCTAACAGTTTTCGTTAGCCCGAAATGGGGGAATGCAAACGATTAAAACAATACACTTAATACGCGCGTTTGTTTGTATTTATGTTTTGGCTGCTGGTTTGGGGCCCAGTCCCCCCGGACACATGTTTTTACTTAACTTTTCAGTGCTTATTTATAGACGGGGGCTGGCTTTTCGGCTTTCCGTTTGCTGTGTGCTGTGTGCTGCCATTTCTGTTACTTTTGCCGCCCAGACATCTGGGTCAAAAGAGTGACAGGCGACAAATGACTAAATGGAGAACCCCTGAACTCCGGCCAGTGTCCAAGAAAGCGTTTAGCACGCTTTTTAACTTTTTGGGGCCATCTCTATGAGTTGCACTCAGCGGCAAAAGGGCAAGCAGCAAATGGCAAGCCTCTTAGTCTTGGCGAAATGAAACCCAATCTGAAAAAGTTTCCACCGACAGGCGTGATTTCTACGATTTCCCCCCAGAACCGCAATGACACCGAAAATGTGGAAGGGAGTGAGTGGCGAGTGGGGGTGGCCAACGCCCACGGGGCGTATGATTGACACAACGTCAAATTTTGGTTTGGGCCCGCATGACTCTCCACTCGCCTTTTGCGGAGGAGGGCCTAATGGGGCTATAGAAATTGCCGGCCAGGTATGTAATTGTCGGGAGACGGACTCAACGGCCAATAGTAACTGACTGATCGAACTGGAATCTGATTTCTGTTTTAATAATGGGGTCATTGATCGGAAGGTCAGTCGTTGGCGTTGGAAAAAAGGTACATACAAGTAAATTATTAACAAGAATTATATGATCTTAGCCCTAAATGCGCCGACTTTAATACTAGTGTTTTTTTAAAACAAAATATGTTTATAAATAAAATAAAAATCAAATATAATTATTATAAAAACTCTCTACAGTTAATTTAAGTGTATTTAACATTTATATTTAAATATGATATTTATACCCGTTACTCGTAGAGTAAAAGGGTATATTGTATTCGTGCAAAAGTATGTAACAGCTAGGAGGAAGCGTTTCCGACCCTATAAAGTATATATATTCTTGATCAGGGTCACTAGCCGAGTCGATATAGCCATGTCCGTCTGTCCGTCTGTCCGTCTGTCTGTCCGTCTGTCTGTCTGTCTGTCCGTATGAACGCTGAGATCTCGGAAACTATAAAGGCTAGAAGATTGGCATTTTGCATGTAGATTTGAGCAGTTCCTACGCAGCGCAAGTTTGTTTCAAAATGGTGCCACGCCCCCTCTGACGCCCACAATCGCTTATATTTTAAAAATTTAAATATTTCGGAAAAGTAAAAATGCAGTTTTATTGTGTTTATCAATACCTATCGAAATGTAGAAGAAATTCGTTAAAAAGTTATGCGTGATCAAAGTTTCTATCTCCATCTCCCTCGGACTCCCTTTACCTGAGTAACGGGTATCTGATGGTCGGGGCACCCGACTATAGCGTTCTCTCTTGTTTTAAATAATAATCCAATCACAGTAGATTTAACAAAATCGGTAAACTTTTTTATTTTTTTATTAAAAATAATAACAATGTTTTAAAATATTAAGTAGAAAATAAATTCAATTCATTCTAAAAACTAGAGTTTGATTTTCAAGTGCATGTTTATATGGTACCTTTTTCTTTAAAGAGTAATTTGACTAGAGCTCAACAAATAATTAGGCATGAACATGAACAAGGGTAAATTTCGTAAGAACACCAAAACAGCAAATATAATTGATTTAAGGGTAATACAATTCTCAAATTCACTTTGCAAAACTCTGACTCATAGCTGTAAAAAAAACAAAAAAGAACCCTGAACTTGCTTATCATTTCAAAACTCCTCACTACACCCCATTTGTCATAGTTATCTCCGGCAGAACTTGCCCTCCAAAATTTACAAAATATTTTTAATATTTATTTACTCAAGTGCCAACACATGGTTTTTGTCCCCCTTTTGGAGTCGCCATCCGAAATATAAATTATTTGATGGCTTCGCACATTTTTTGTTCATTCTTTCGCGCTTCGCACTTCATAAAGTCGACTTGGTTATATTCATTATAGCGATTGTCTCCGACTGTGAGTGTATTTCTTGAAGCAGAGCCACATGACGTAATCAAGATAAAAGCAAAACAAAAAATAAAAACAAATATATCGACAGTCACATAAGAAATTCCAATACCAAGCAACACTTTGTTTTGATGCATTTCTGTATTTCAAACTTTTTGTTTCACACCGATACTTTTACTATTATTACTGACTCATCTTCCTGAAACTGAGCACATGGCATTGGCATTCAATATTATTTAATTTAAACATGTATCTATTGATAAACAAACTGTTAGCTTAGAGTGCTAACAAGTTTTCGCCTGACTCAGCGTCGGAAATTCTAAGTGCGATTTGCATATAGCAATCAATTATTTGCAACGCCCTCTCGCGCCTCCCGATGAATCATTTAAGTTGGAAAAGCGTACTCCTCGCCAGACGAAAAATCAATAAGCTAACAGTGCAATTTTCATGGGCAAAACAGACGGCGTTTGGAAAATGTTTGGCCTATGCTGACGTCATAAATTGGTCAACAAACTGGGCTTTTACTGGGTCAATGTTTTAACTTGCCTTAATAGGGGTTCGTTTGGCTGATATCTAATTGAATTTGGGCGATATATTGGTTCTTAAATGATTGTGTGAGAAGCGCTTAAAAATAGTGGGTGTAAAATGGAGAATGGATAATTATTTTGGCTTAAGGAAATCTATAACTTTACTGTTGGGCTTTTAGTATAATAAAATTATGAATCTGTGAATTAAAAAAATTAAAAAGTAATTTTTTATGGAATTTTTTTTGTTTTGATCATTGTTTTCCTATCCCCCCATCAAATAAACGTAAGAAAAACATTAAAGAATAATGGAAAATTATTCGCGTAGAGAATGGCGGATAGGTCAAGTTCCTTAGACAATTTTTTGAACCGCTGCCAATAATCGCATTCATGGGAACCACATTAGACCGGGCCAGAAGAACTGTTCCATCTCATTATCAACGTAATATTCCGTGCCCCGTTTCGCTCCTGTCTACTGACCATCTGCAGAATTTTCCCGGGAGACCTTTCAACGATACTTTCCATTTTCCTACGCCTCGTCTATTATTTTCCCCTCAATTTGCGCAATGCACAATTGCATCTGGGCCGTGCCTTCGAATTAACTTCAATTTACACTCAACAGACTCGGGCGCAAATCAATTAACAGGAGCAGAAAGTCTGAAAAGTCTGAGAAGTCTGGACGGCAGGCCGCTAAAGATTTGTGTAAACGAAATGCAGATGCCACTGAATTTTCCTTCGGACTGCTGCTCCAAGTAGAAGTTATTGCAATGCGAATGACAAACATTGCCTGGCTCTGGATAAACAAACAGAGCAGGAGCACTACGGCGTCGTCTAGACGGTAATCTCAGGTCGTTCTAAGACGTTGCCCCTTTCCCTGGTTTAATGCTTTTCTTCCGAGAATTCGCACATTAACCAAGTTTATGGCATAGAAGAGAGGAAAACACCGGCAGAAAACTGGCCATCAAATCGCAGTGGTTATGTTGGGTAAATAATTTGATTTCCGTTCCGGTATCAGAAGTGCTTATCTTGGGGGCAATCGGCTGGTTTGATAGCCCCTTATCGGCTGACTGCCCTCGCAAGGTGAAAAATAGAGTGGGTGTCTACCCCATTAGACCAGATGAAAGACTCCCTTTGAACTGTGAGATCCAAGAGATCCAGACAATGCAACTCCCACTCCCTTTCTGCATTCTACAAATAAACAGACAATCTCCGATTGCAATCGGAAATCCAAGAAGACTTCTTGAAGTCTTTAATAGCTTTCTTCCCCATGAAAAAGCTAAGAATGTTTACATTGCATTGGGGCCTTTAATATTTTTCCACATAACAAAGGAAGGGAAATATCACACGATTATCAGCTGGGAATGTATAAATAAATAGTCGATAAACAATTAGCAATATCAAATATTTACGAGTACAAATCCAATGAAAAGGTCCCGCCACAACAATTGCATAACCAAAAGTTTGCTTATCACCTTGGCAGTAAGTATTAACCATGGCTATCGAACTACAAGTAAATAGTGTATAGTATATATAGCACCTATAACGAAATAGGTTTTCTGCGACAATGTCTGGCACTTTGCTGGAAGTGTGCAATCTTATCGGCCTTTGGCGCTGCTAAAAACCCCAGTACATAAATAAATATAAAAGTGGTATGCCATGAAGCGCCGAACTGGTAATATGTACAAAAATGGGCTTTTGATTCGTTGTTGATAAATAAGAATTATCAATTTTTTTTAGGGCGTTTGCTTGTTTGTTTCGGGGAAATACTCAAGTGTAGTTTTAAACTTAGAGAACTCATAGGAATTTTGTTTGCCCATAAAAACAAACTTAACTTTGCAATTAAAGTTAACAAGAAATATTTCGTTAAGTGCAGTTTATTGTCGCCTGCGGAATACTAAAATCTAAGCCTTGACCAATCCAAAAAGTAAATAAAATAAAATCCGTAGACGCACAACTAAGTGAGATGCATTTAAATGAAAATGAAATGCAGTTTGTCGTTAGCATTGGAGGTTGGATATCGTCATATATATGAATCATCAGCTGGCTGACTGGAATAGCTGATATTATTACACGCAATTTATGAAGTGGCTAATGGAAAGACCCACTTTGAACTTCAAGAACGTTGGTTGAGAGGGTGTGCTTTGATAAGGCTTTAAACACTGATAGCGTTGAAAAATAAGCCAATCCCATTGGGTTTCCTTGAATTTACAGCTCAAACACTTTATATTATAAGTTATCAATAGGTAAAGACTTAAGGTTATTGGGCTTTGTTTGCACCCAGAAATAAATTAAATTATTAAAATATATTTATTCTGTAATTTTTGCCATTAAAACACACACTCATCCCATCTACGGATCCTTCACCTTGTCACACAAAAGGCGTTTTTCCCATTGTCAAACAAATCACTTAATAAACCCCAAAATAATAATTAAAATTTATTGCCCCAATAAGTGTTTCCCCAGAGAGAAGAGTTGAACGCAGTTCATGGAATATACGAGTGCTGTAAACACTAGATGCACTCGAAATATAGGCCAAATAAATGCGTAAACAAGTGTCGAAAATGAAAACCAAACTTATCAGCTAAATAGACACGAAATGGGGCACTCGAAAGTGATGCATGAGAGGGAGCCAAAGGGTCAAAGGGCAATCAATCAGGGATTTTATGGGGCTCTTGGCCTCCCGTGAGGACACTTGACTTAATGGCAGTCGTAAAACGTCTCCTTAGTCGGGAACTGCGAACTTGGATTGCGGCAAACAAAGATCTCGCTTGTTTCTGTGGCGATCGAGGAAACATTTCGGTCGTTTCGGGGCAAGTGAAACAAGTTTTCTTCCAAACACAATTTTTTTCCATCCTCTATTTTGTGGGTGAGTCTCGGCCAAACTGACGCCATCAACCGGTTCGTATTTTGGCTACGGCATGGCATTTTTTTTTCGTTTTTCTTTTGTTGACTTGAGTATCTGCAAGATACACAGCGTGAGTCAGAGCAAATGCGAGGGGATTACATATTTTTAATTTTTCCTAATAAAATATACTATTTCTAGCCCTTTTTGCAATGTGCAAAATAATGTATGATGTCATCTGCTAATGCCAAAGAAGTGTATTGCATATATGTAGGAAAGAAATGCAGTGATTTCCCATTTGATTGATTTACCCGAACGATGCCAAATGAAAGTGAGTTTGTTTTACTGGATTTCTTTTATTTCTTTCACGTTTTCAAGCAATTTCCACTCGTTTTTGGCGCGTTTTTGACCCTCAATTCGTTGGGGGGTTTCCTCAACTTGGTTGGCTCCGACTTTTCCGGCTTTCCTGATAAATATTTATTAATGCGCAGCAAATTGATTTGCGTTACGTTATGATTATACCAAGTTGTAAGACATGAAAATCGTGTTTGATACTTAAAGTTATTACGTAATTAATCCAATTTACAACGCTTTATTTGCTTGCGATACTTTTGATAAGCGGTTTGTGAGCCACCAAAGTGGGTTAACGCATCTTTGACAGTAACTCGCTTTTAATGACTGTCTTCATCACTTATGCAATCGAACAATCAACTAGAGGGTACTACCATCTCCGAATGCGTAGCCATCAAATTTTCCATCAGCTGGCGAGCTTGTTCACCAATTAATTTCCTTTTTCAACCGGCGATTGCAACTGACAGCTCACTCAAGGCAAACACATTGTGTTTGTCTTATCAAAACCAACCAATCGTAATTGTGATATATCGTCTGAGTGAGTTCAGTAATTAAATATATTTGGTTATTAGATGAATCAGTGCTGAGATGGAATAGCTGACCAATTTATTGAGTCAAAGGGTTTATTTATAGGCATTGCAAAACATTTAGGGAAAGAGAAACCCAAACAATCATTAAAATATCACTGTGATTTGGAGCCAAACAGTGCCACCGAACTCATTATCATAAATGTCCAAGCGAAACCACCTATTTCCACAGTTTTGTAAACCTCTGCTAATCAGTTGAATAAATATGTGGACTCGACAATGCGGCGGCGAGAACTTTTCCCGATAATGATCGCTTTTACATGAAAGTTACCGAGCCATGCGAACCAGCGACCCGGAGAAATAGATGGGGGGAGATACGACTCCAAAGGAAGCAGTTGCAACAAGTTGTTGACACTCGCAGTGAAATGAAATGATATACGGTCCATGTGGGTTGTGCTGCGTGGTTGTCGGGGGGTTAAGGAACTTTACATAATGGGCATGGAAGCCGCTGTACATAACCACTTGGAACCACAATGCCGGACACACAAATATTGACATTTTAATTGGAGGAAGGGAACTAGAATTTCACTTTTTTATAAATATTTATTTATGATGTCTTATTGGCACATAAATTTATAATGTCGTTGAAGTGACAGTTTTAAATTAGAGATTTCATAAAGTTTTTAAGTGATTGCAATAAAAGTTCAACGACATTAGTAAATTATAATAGCATAAAGATTTTTGATTTTCTTTTAGAAGCATTAAACTTAGAAGTCGCTATTGAATTCCTTAATGTGATCTATAAATCTTATTGGCAGATAAATATTCATATAAGGTCGTCAAATAAATTAGAACTTGCAATTTTATGCCATTTCAAAGATTTGGAGCAATAACAATGGATTGTATTTTGGATTCCCTTTTTAAAAAACTTTAAATGGATCTAATTTCAAAACAAAATCTTCCCAAGTATAAAACCATGTCTCCTTCCATTTTCAAATTGAATTAAAATGCCGCTAATGAATGCATTTAAAACCGAAAGTCATGACACAAAAAGAAGAGTTTAACACTCTAAATGAGCATGCAAATGGGTCCATTGAGTGCGCTCCCGAGTGGAACGGAAAGCGGGAGGGGGGGTTAAGTGGGGGAGATAGAGTCGGAGACGGAGAGCTCGGTTTTAATTGAAATGCCGATAAGCAAATCCAGTTTAATCAAGTCGGAAAAGCCAAGAACCGCAACCAGTTTTTCTGCGTGGCGCCCCCAGGTGGGAATCGATCAAAACAGAAGCCTTGAACTAGACCAACAACTTGGGGGAAAAGTGGTTTCCAAAGGGGGGGAGTTCGGGTAGGGGAGGAGATGCGGAATAGATGGGGAAGTAAACAGAGGACAAGGCCATCAGTGGAATCAATAGACACGGTGGTCATTCGCCAGTTGGAATTATTTAGCTGTTTTGCAAGATTACATTGCGGCTTTTACTGGCTTACACTTTTTATGAGAACTTTATTGCATGGAGTATTACAAAACAAAAATGTTTTTAAAGGCGGACGTAACTTCCGGACTTCTGAGTTTTTAAAAACTGAGAGCTACAATATTATGATTCACAATTCACTTTATCAATCGAAATTTTTTATGAATGTATACTTAAAAATGTAAATATTTTTGTTTAATATTAAAATTACTCACTTTTATGCGATAATAAATTAATATGTTTAGGAAGTGTTTCTTTGTTATATATTATTAGAGTTACTATGTTATCGAACAATAATCATTTTGTAAGCATTCATTTTGGGGGTGAATCAATAGAGGTCTCGGAATCGTGAACTTGATTTTAAATGTTATTGTTAAAGTAGTTGGCATTTTTGGAACGTATATCTTACCGCTTTCTTAGGTTATCCATGAACTTCTCCATGGACACATGATCCAGGAGGACGAAGTCCTGCACTCCCGCTTCCCGTTGCAACGCCATGGTGTCCTGCGTCCTTTTTACTTTGCTCACGAGCGGAGAGAGCGAGGATCGGGGATGCTAATTGCCGGCTGCAAGGGCAGAGGTGAGATCTTGGCCTCAGGTAAGAGCGCAGGAATATCGCGTTAAGACAGAACAACACACACCGAAAAAGTGGCAGCGTTCACTTGGGTTTTGTTTTGTTTTTTTTTTTACTTTTTGTTTGCCTCGCCTTTCGCGTCTCGCTTCGAATTTTAAATATATATCTATATGTATATAAATTCTGTGTTGTTGCTGCCGAGCGATTTTTATGTTTTATGAACCTATTTCGGCCGCTTCTGCTGATTGTGACGAATAATTTTCGGTGTGACAACAGACACAGAAACGACGACGATAATTCGGTATGCGACGAAGATCAATAAAGAATATTTCTGGACCGATTGAACGCTTCCAATTGGAATGGAGCAAGATCGGGAACAACAAAAATGACGAGAACTCGATCAGGAACCACTCTCCACCTCACTAAAAACCGCAAGTTTCGCGACGTCGCCCGAAATAAACATTTATTTTATCGGCTCCAGTTTATGATTTGCTGCGATCTTTTCCTGCCCTGATCGTTGCGAACTAGTCCGGAATGCAGCCAATAAATAAGCTGGCCCACCTGGTTTCGGTTTCGGCGGATTAATAACAACAAACAGCCGACGAACAACCGCGTTCGACCGATTTCAAAGAGAGTTGCAGAGGGACTGTGGTTAAACTTCTTAAATATACTTGAGCAAAGCTACGAAAAATATATGAGTCGTACACCCCACCAGTGGATTGAAACTTTGAAAGCAACATAGCGCGGACTCCTACCCACATATGACCACATCGTCACCGTTATACCTTCGTCACACTGTTGCTTTGACTGTTGAAATAACGTGAACAAACCGTGAACGATTTGGGGAATTATGTAAAGCTGTAAATAAATTAGTTATAATAATTAAAATATTTAATAACTTATTTCTGCAAACTGTGAGGTCCCAGAGTTACAATTTGAAAAAATATAGATATCATTCTCTATCTTGATAAAAAGGTTTATTTGTTAAACTGCATAATAAAAGCGTGTACATCATAACAAACATCTGAAATAGTTGATATAATTAGATAATATTGGCTTTACAATTTAATGAATGCGAATCTATAAATTTAGTTAAGGAATAAGGCAAAAATAACCTAATACATAATATTTAAAAGCCGCAGTAAGCGTTTTTATAAATTTATCATTTCCTTGTTGTTTAAAGAGATGGGCTATTGATCCCATTGTGTATATAACATATGGGGTCATGTATATATTTCCAAAATAACGTATTTTGGTTATTTGGGTAGAGTACAGTGTGTGTATATTTCTAATTAACTTCGTTTGCTCAAGCTAGCAGGTCGTGCATATAGGATACAACAGTATTTAAATATTGATAATTCGTTTTGTATTAAATTGTATTGGGCAGTACGTTTCAGATTGGATTGCCGAATCTACGTTTATGTACATATATATATGTATCCCGACGCAGAACTGAATAAAAGGGGCATTGATCAAGTGTTCGGAACACTCCCGAGGAGGTAATAAGTGAACATGAAAGTATTGATCGTACTCTGCGTTCTATTGGCTGTGGCATTTTTTTTGGTCCAGAAAACAAGTGCGGTTAATAATAATCCCAATGGCAATTCCCACGTTCACGAAGACTCTAGAGGAGGATTTGGATCTAATTGCAATCGCAGCTCAATCGGAGGATTTGGCGGATGCCGTGACCAGTGGCCCTTTGGACCAACTTTGCCTGGTGGTGGCGCTTTTTGAAATAATAATTTAATACATTTATAAAAGCCATAATTGTGCAGCAGTATGAATAACAAAATTATACTAATATAAATACACAAATATTTTTTATATTATATATACGCATTAAAACTTTATAACAAAGTTCGGTTTTCGAATAAGTGCACAATAAAATCTCAAACATTAAATGGTGAGAGTTTATTGTAATTTTTTATTCGCCGTTAGGAAACAGCAAATTTAAAGTTGTTTAAGGTGAAAATAGACTAATTTCTAGTAACTCTAGTGTTACCCTTAAATGGAGAAAATATTTCTTAAAGTAACGGAAAGAAATAATGTTGAAAAATGAAGCAATTTAAAATAGTGTTGTGCGGGCACACTGAACTCACCACGAACAGCTGTGGTGTGGTGAACAGAGCCTTCGCCCTCGTAACATTTCATCTCCACAAAATCGGGATATAATGAATAAAATCACTCGTGCCTTCATTAGCGTGCTACGCCAGAGCAGCTCCTCCGGCGGCACCAACACTCTGCTGGGTCGTCAGCTCTCCTACCGAAGCGATTTATCCCTGGACAAGCTGTACCCGAGTGCGCGGCTACAGATCTACACGCCGCCCCCGCCGGTAAGTGGATGCAGTGACTCCTGGGATCACATACAATAAAATATCCATCATCCAGCCCACAGGAACTGGCAACAAGTTCAGCGGCTTCATTCCAATGGACAGACTGGAGATCACCTACAGCCGCAGCTCGGGACCCGGAGGCCAGCACGTGAACACGGTGAACACCAAGGTGGATGTGCGCTTTAAGGTGGCGCAGGCGGACTGGATACCCGAGCAGACTCGCCAGAAACTGCTCAAGGTGCTGGCCAACCGGATCACCAAGGAGGGCTACTTCTACATCAAAAGCGACCTCACCCGCTCCCAGCAAATGAACCTGGCCGATGCACTGGAAAAACTGCGCTCCATCATTCGTGCCCAGGAAGCTTCCGAAGCTGCCCCGCCCAGCGAGGAGACGCTGGAGAAGCTTCGCCGGCGCCAGGAGCGAGCGGCTCGCGAGCGCCTCCAACTGAAACGTGGTCGCGCCCAGATCAAAGCCGATCGTCAGGGACCCGGCGGAATAGACTTGTAGTTTTTATTGGAAATTGTTGCACAAAGATTCACATTACACATATACACTTAACTAAGTTATGAATGGCATTTCAGGTTCTTACTATTACAGATTTGTATAGAATTCGATTTTTTATACCCTCTGGTAGAGTATAACAAGTAATTGGTTGTACATTATTGGCTCTAATAATATTTAAATTTATGCAAATCTTGTGAAAGTGAAAACACGAATACATCTAATAGATTTCTAGGGAAGCTGCTCGTCCTCGTTAGCCGGCGTGACTGTAAACCGTTTGGAACTTGTCACTTGGATAACTGTTTCTTTCAGCGGGTTGTCCTTTCCCACTTGCGAGGGCATGCTCGAAAATCGAGGCCGCTGAAAGCACGAAATGAGTGATCTGGAAGGAGGGATCTATGAGCAACTTACGGGTTGTGGAGGACTCAACTGGATGGAGACTTCGTGGCTCCTTTGCGATGGCCTGCTGACCACACTGTGACGCTGACGACGCTCTGCTAGAGGATAAACACTTCCTATTTTCGACGCATACAGCTGCTCCAGACGGTGGATGGTGGAGAAGCCCGCTCCAGGTGGCTGCATCGAGAAACTATGCCGGTTGCTGAGCGGCGACCATGTGTGCTGGTAGTTCGTCTCGTCCAGGTGGCGCAGGAACTGACGATTAAGCGATCCCAGCGCCTGCTGGTCCTCGGTGGCCAAGTTGGCCATTAATTCGTCCAAGATATCAGACTCCGTCTCCACTTTTCCATGGCGCGCCAGCTTAATGTCATGTTTCCAGAATTGCCTGTTCTTGCGCCCAATTACCGGCGCGATCTCCTTGACCTTCAGTACCAGGATTCCCATCAGGTAGACGCAAAGGACGTTGGAGAGCGTCAGACACATGCTGATGCCACCCAGCACGGCCAGTTCCTTGGCCTGGTTGTCCGAGTAGCGACGCGTCTTGATCACATCCACGTACAGCGAGTCGTCGTGCTCGAAGAACTTGTAGATGCAGGCAACTGCCCAAAGGAGTCCAGAGTTGACTGCTGGCGGCAGAAGAGAGGCGGATATGGCCACGCCCACAAGCGAGCCGATGTTGCCGCCCAGGATTCCAATAGCAGCCGCCGCTCCCGAAGGTATCGCTGTGAAAACGCCAACGACCAGTGAGTGCAGATCGCAGCGGGAGAGCATCTCCTCCGTGAGCCCTTCGCCGATTCCGTACTTGTGATCCGTGGTGCACACCACCAGTCCGAAGAGGAAGCCCACCAAGGTGGCGGTCAGGATGCCGATCAGCTCGTTTAGCATGCCCAGTCTGCGAAGCGATCGGTCCTGGATCACAGTTCCGAAGATGGCCGCGATTATTGGACCCATAAGGGGAGAAATCAGCATACTGGAGGCTAGGAAGATCGTGCTGTTCTCCACCAGACCAAAGCTGGCCAGGACTCTGAAACGGGTTGATTTATATTGCAGGTGTTCATAAACTTATAGATTTGTTAGAGTCATAGAGTATAGGATTTCGGAAGAAACAGTTCTAGGAATATAATTGCAAATGCTTCGAAGTTGGCCTAATTTATTCAGCTGCGATATTAATTTCTTAATTATGAAGAAAAATATTTGTCGGCATGTTTTGCTTTACAAAAAGCTAAATTAATCTTTTAAATTAATTTAGTCTTTTTTTAGAACAAACAATTAATCTTTTTCAGACAAAACTCCCAAAAATTAATGTCAAAGCTTATTTTTAATAATTTAAAAATCAAAGTGGTTAACTAAATCTTACGCTGCCGATACTAGTAGTATGCAAAAGTCGAAGGTGATTGCCGCATCCTGCCGCACATCTCTCAGGATTTGGGCCACATTCAATCGGGATCGCACGGAGTTCATGAACCGATTCCAGATCCCTTGTTTCTGGGCATTGATCTGCCTGTGGGACGAAAACTACAGAATTAAATGTCTTAAAATAGCACATTTCAAGCTTATTTTACTCTTTGCTAGAGTGTTGGCTCCCCTGCTCCTCCAAAGTCTCGCGCTGGACGTAGGATCTGTTGGCCAGGCAGCTGACCACGGACACCGCGGATCCCTCCCGATCGCCGATGCCCCATTCCTGCAGAGCCTCGTAGAGATTCTCGTAGCGCTCGTCGAAGTCCATGGAGAAGCTGATGTGGTAGGCATTCCCCTCCAGACTCGGCAGCCAAACTGCGTTGGGTATGTGAAATTTCTGTAAGATCTGGCGCAGCACCTGTTCCTGATCCGTGTCCAGTGGGATGTCGAGGAGCTGATCGTGGGAGCCGCCATCGGACGTCTGAATTTGGATTTTTTGCAGGGGATTCTGGGCTTTTTGGTTTTTTCTTTGTTTACCGGGCGTCTTCTCCGGTGATTCCCCAATCCGAATGGTGGACAGGCTCTCGATCGTCGACGCTCTGCTGGCGGTTCCTATGGGCGTGCCCACCTCTCCGTTGACCACCTGGACGTACCCCTTCTTCAGGCGCTGCTCCTCCGCCTTCGTGGGAATCGTGATCGTGAGGAGCACGGCGGCTGTTCCCGTCATCGTTGCGGTTGCGGAAGTGAACCTCTGTGTTTTGTGTTGACAGCACACTTTGTAGAAAATCGATCTAGTGCATAATCACCCGCACACACACACGTGGACAACTGGACGGACCCGGCGATGCAACTGCACTGATCTTCTTTATACTGGAAGTGAATTGAAGCCTCGCTTGTTATTGCCGCCACTGATAACGGTTTCTGGCTGAGTGCTGCTTCCCGCCGATCTGCCAGTCACTCGGAAGTACCTCCCACTTGGCCATATTTAGGATCTTGACGGAATCGAGCTTTCGCCACTTCCCGCCCTCATGTTAAATTTAAAATTTTAACGGCGTTTGTATATTTTACCAAATTAGCGCTTTTGAAACCTTGCTTTAAATTGGATTTAAGTGGATGACTATTTGACAAATATTTATTTAAATTTTGACTATTTTATCCTAGTGATATTTTTATTATTTTTTATTAAGCGATTACGCATCTAAAACCAAATAATAAATTTAACACATTTTAATTTTTTTACCTTAAGAAATTATGTTATTTGAAACACATACATATTTTTATCTTTTATGAAATATGACACTGTAAACCTCATTCAAATTAAAAAGTTAAAACTTTCCACATGGAAGCATATTATTTGATGATTAAGTCAGATCTGATTCTCCGGTTGAATGGTGTTTCTAATAATAGGCTCTGTTTAAAAGCAACCTAATTGGCATATGATATTTAACCATTAATTGTTGATAATTAAATAGTTACCTCTGTTTGATCCGATAAACAACCTAAAATTAAAATTTTCTCAAGTTATCGGATATGATACAGCATAGGTTTGCTATTTAAAAACATCCCACATAATTAAATTAAAGGCGCATCTTTTATTTAGCGTTATTGTCACTTCATGACTCACTCTCATGATCAGATTGTTTAATCTTAATAAACATTCTCGTTAATTTCATGCCCTTTGGTGCACTCGAATGTCGACTTGGTTCAAGTTTTGTTAATTAAATACTCATGGCGTGATTGTATCTGTGTGCATTTCTATAGATCGGCGAGTCGTGCGAATAGCCGCCAATTGGAGGATCATTTGTATGCAGGTGGGTCGGTGTCATTCTCCAGCACGATAGACGGAGAATTTAAATACATTCAGTGGTACAGAAACGAACTTTATTTGATACAAAATCATCGTATGTACAGGCAAACGCAGCGAGAATGGAAGTGTAAATGCCACTAAAACTGACTAAACAATAGCTGGATTGGAATTGCACTTAACAAGGTTCTTTAGCAGGCTAAAAACAATTAAAATGCGTATAAGAGGCTAATATCTACACAAATACAGAAACAACTGCGTTTACGATATATATGCTTACGGTGTACAAAAGTGGAATGGTGACATGAAAATGTGATTCGGAGGCTGGATGATCTCCGGTGCCGAATTTTCCCGTTTCTTTCTATTAGACTAAGTCGACTCGTGGTTGTCTTACGCACTAATTAACAGCATATTGGGCAATAGGCAAGGCTTAAATATAACCCCGTTGCAGCTCCTAAAAGCGGATCTCGTTGCGCTGCACCTGATCGTACACCTGGGGCGTGAGCAGCTCGTAACGTCCCTTGGATGTCTGGTAGTACAGGGAATCCTTGATCAGGGCCGGGTCGTAGCCCTCCTTCTGCAGGTCTACCTTTCGTAGCTTGAAGGTGCCAGTGAGGTCCACCTTGGTGAGCAACCGAATAATCTGGGGACGTGCGTAGGCGGGCAACACCTTGGCCAAGCTACCGGCGAAAGTATCGAGGTCCAGTTCCCGGTCAGGATCGTAGATGGCGGCCATACCGGCCCTTCCCTCGGTGTGCGGAATTGTAATGCCGTATACCACAGTATCCTTGTACCCAGCCACATTGCTGACCTGCGCCTCCACCTCGCTGGTGGACACGTTCTCGCCCTTCCAGCGGAAGGTGTCGCCAGTGCGATCCTTGAAGTACAGATAGCCCTTCTCGTCGGCCACCAGCAGATCTCCGGAGAGGAAAGCCATATCGCCGTGCTTAAATACATCCTTTACAATCTTTTTGGCAGAGGCCTTTTCGTCAACATAGCCGAGGAATTCGCGAGATGGATTTCCCTTGACGATCTTGCCGATAAATACGCCAGGCTCGTTAGGAGAACACAGCTGGCACAGACCATTCTTATCCCTAATGGGCTCCCCAGTGTCTTGATCGGCGCGAATGATCGAAATCGGGTAGATCTTTGGCAGGATGCGCGACACGAAGCCGATAGCACCCACAGTGTTGTCGTGGTTCATGATGTTCGCATTGCCCTCTGTGGCGCCGTAAAACTCGCCCACCTTGGCGATGTTGAAGCGCTCCACGAACTGTGGCCAAATCTGCGGACGCAGTCCGTTTCCAAAGACTAGACGCACTCGGTGTTTCTGGTCATATTCCGATGGTTTTGTAGCCAGAATGTAGCGTGCCATCTCACCGATATACTGACCGACCTGGGAATTACAAAGCCTGCATTAGTGACTGATGTCGAGGGGCAATAAATTCCACTTACTGTGGCATTGTACTTGGCGCAGTCGGCGAAATAATTGGAGGCGGAGAACTTCTTGCGAATGGAAACCGTGGAGCCGAAGAGCACCGACTGACCCATGCACATTATGCCTCCAGCGGTGTGGTACAAAGGCAAGGGCGTGTAGAAGACGTCCTCCTCCTGGAAACCCATGGTGTAGTGGATGCCAGCAGCGATAAACAAATACCTTAGGGTAAAAACGTTACGAAAAAATTAATAAGTTTTGTATGTCGTATTGCAGATATATGTAGGTACCTAATATTTTAATTAACAATAGTCTCATGTAGTTTAAATAACCATTTGTACCTACCGGGAGTGAGAGATGACGGCTGCCTTGGGCAGACCCGTAGTGCCAGAGGTGTAGATGTAGACGAGCTTGTCGTGGTGGTTCACCTGCGTCTTGTTGGGCTTCTCATTGCTGGCGGTGGTCAGCAGAGCGTTCAGGTTCTTGGCCTGCGGAATGTTCTTGTCCGTCTGGCTGTTGTTGTTTTCGTTGTTAAACTGGAAGAGAGTCAGGTCGGCGGGCAGATCCTTGGCCACGTCGGAGACCGCTTCCAGGAAGTCCTCGCCGTAGATGAGGGCCGTGCAGTGGGCCACCGTGATGCTGTGCAGCAGGGAAGGACCGCGCAGGTTCGTGTTGATCAGCGGGGTAATCACGCCGATCTTGGAGAGACCCAGCCAAGTGGCCACGTACTCGGCACGGTTCTCCAGCAGCAGAGCCACCACATCCCCCTTCCGGTATCCCTGGGCCTGCAACACGTTGGCCACCTTGTTGGCATGCTCGTTCACCTGACGGAAGGTCCAGCGCTGCGTCTCGCTCACCACGGCCACCTTTTCCGGGTGGATGTGAACATTCCGCTCAAAGACATCCGCCACGGTGTAGTTGAGCCGCTCATGGCGCTTCGTGTACCTCAAGAGCTTGATATAGGCCCAGAGAGCTCTAAAAAGAATAGTTTCTTTAAAAAAATCTCCAAAACTCTGTTATATTTCCAAATCTTAATATAAAAATTGTTTAATGACAAGCGGTAATTACTTTGTACTTAGTTTAAAAATTAAATAAACATTAGGAAGATACTAATAAAAATGTGGAAACAGTACGATAATTTACTAAATTAATGAGTAATTAAATAAATTATTTAGCTTTTGAACAAAGTGTTGGCTTATATTTGGTGATTTGTTTGTCCTTTGGCAATGAAAAATATAAAGGTTCAGTTTTGTCATGTATATTTAAGTAAAAAAAAAAAAAAAAAATTAAAATAATTAATACATATGTAGGGAAATTGTTTGATAAGAGGGTAAGTCGGTAGTATGTTTGCTATCGATCGCGTGTGTTTTATGGTTAGTGGTTGGGGCCTCTAAAAACAGAGCACAGAAATCGAAGCGCGACAAGCGCAATAGCCGTAATGCGATAAAACCAGAGATAAACCCGCCTGAAGTGGCTGCAATCGAAACCGAACGTGGTAACCTAGTCCCGACTATTCGAGCCACAAATTTATGACGTTGCTAAATTTGAGCTGAGTTATGCAAAGTTCACGAGAAAGTTGATGTAAAATATTCGAGAGTACCAAAGAAAATAAAATGAAATATTTGTCTAACTGTAATTGTAGCAGCTTTACAAAACTGTAAGTTTTAAATCGAGTTACGTTGTCACATGCTATACCATTTTATCACCAATGAGGATTAAGGGATTTCCTAAGAACATTTACAGTTCAACAGTAAATTCTGTTTGTTTTAATTATCAATATTGAAGCAGCTATCAGCAAAATGAACAAACGTAAATACCCAAGATAACATTTACCATTGATTACCTAGTTCACATAAAACTCGGGCATTAACAAATGGAAATTTAGATTCTGATTTTCTATTGTTAAACTGATTTTCTGACAATTTTTACATTAATTGGTTGATAAGCTGATTAAGATATGCAAAAAAAAAGGTTTTTCAGTCTGAAAGCCTTTCGAAGTACTTCAAGTAAAAGATGTAGAGAGATTTTATACGCTATTGTATATATACGTATGTATATGCGGCAAAGCCAATTCAAATCGTTCGTTTCCGTCTGGCAAACATCAACCGCAATAGTTCGATGGTCTGTATATTAGGAATTGGAAAAACTTGCACTAGACTTGGGACTCGACCACATCGACGATCTCAATTTAAATTCGCTTTGCACTCGTGCGTACTTTGCACCGCTGGCGGGATTGAAGTGTCGATTAGATTGCCGGCTAAGCAGTTAGTTTAGCCCTCGTTAGCCGTGTATTTATAAGGCTTTAATCAGGCCTTGTGACCCCCCTCGAGTGGTTAGATTGGAATTTTTGGAAGTGCTGGACATGTTTGCTTGTAGATAAGTCGGCTGCAGGCCGAAGCAAAGCTTTAAAGCGAGACCAAGGTCGCCCAGACAGATTTGAAGTTGAATTTAAGAATCTGTTGCGAACGAAGATATACGAGAGAATACATATATTCGAAGTTAGTGAAGACAAAACCAGTGCTGGCCTTGGCATGGAACTTGATCTGCTGTGTGAGACTCGTTAAAGCACAAAATGCTGAGATAATTAAATTTTGCCTGTTTCAGTCGAGAGAATTTTGCAGTTTTCATAACTTATCATTGGTTTTAAGTCCATTTTAATAGTAATTTTATTAAAATTCATTAA